CAATAGAATGCGCTGCTAACAAGTGTCCTTGTGCTTCGCGTAGTTTCTCGACAAAGGACCGCGTGTTCTGAGCATTCTTCGATGGTCCACGACCTTTGCGAGGAGCCACTGGTTTTGCTAAGGATAACCGATCAGATGCGATCCTTTCCTTAAAAGATCCCGCTACTGAAGGGAAAGAAAGAGTTGAATCTTGAATGACAGAAAATACAGCGTCGTGGCTTATTTGTTCTAGACTCTGCCCAATCAAGGCCACACCCATCAAGAAGCTGGCTTGTGACACATCTGTGGGCAACTTGGAAAGCTCATATGCCGTTCGGAGGGTGGTCACCGCTGCTGCCCAATCACTAGCATCAAGGAGACGAGTCGATTGAATCTGGAGGATCGAGGCGCGTAAGAAGGACAATTGGGTTTCTTCGGGTTTAACTTGTACCGGGGCTTCGAGTAGGGGAATCGCCTTTTTCGGTGGCGGCTTCTTCGAGATACTCTTGGTTGGAGCTCTTGGTCTTTTCGTTACCGCGGTGCGGCGTACCACAGCTTTAACAACTGGCTTTTCTTCGACCCTTAACCCCGCCATGTCTGATTCTAATACATCTACAACCGAATTATTCGCATCGTGGGCGCTATTCAAAATCTTGAGCATAGACTCTGCCCTGTCTATTACTTCTTCTTGGGCCTCTTCATCGTTAATTTCTCCATATACCGAACTCAGACGACACAGCACCTTCGCGTTCTGATAGGTGGGCTCTAAGCCTAGAGTTATAGGTTTGATTTCAGCTGCCAGCTCCACTGCCTTCTCCAGCTTACCAGCCATGAGCCACACCCGTGCTAACCATGCAAGAGATTGAGACATGTACACAGCTGACTCCATACTCTTCGCTACTTTATGTGCTTGTTCGGCATAATATAGTGTTTCTTGATACATACCAACATGTGAGTAGGTAGAAGATAATTGTAGAAGAAACCGAAACAACTGGTGAGCTAGCGTCCAAAACTCTGGCCCAGCGCTCGCACGGGGTAGATCAGAACGCTCCATATAGGAATTATTGAGGCTCGCATCCTTATCTGAAGCATCTGATTGCGAGGACTCTTCTATGGAAATGTCGTGGGCGGCGGATCGCATCTCATCTAGTCTAGACCAATCATGGAACAATTTCCTAACAGCGGTTTTGGCGAAGCGAAGTGCGTGATAACAGTCGCCACGCTCGAGCTCGAGGTTTGAGTATAAGAAATACGCATACGCCGTGGTAATCCTTCGATTGGAGCTTTTCCCTTTCCTAGGTTCTAACTCGGATGACAGGCCCATCTCAGCATTTCGAGCATTACTCAAATGCTGTTCAGCCTTGTCGAGGGCTCCTAAGGATAGGTGATACTCGGCGGCAGACAAGTGAAATCTTACAATAAGCTCTTTGGCGACGTCTGGTCGAGAAATCACTTCTTGATTATCCACCAGAAACTTCTCGGCTTTGGATGACCAGCCATGACTCAAATGTTGCAGGCAGAGTGCAATACCCTGACTTATCGATGCTTCAAGATTGCAGTCCCCCGAGAGTTTAGAGAGGCTCATCGAGAGTTCGAGGATCTCTGTTTGTAAGGTTTCTAGACCCTTGATTCTGGCGAAATCGACAAGAGACTGCAGGTTTGTGAGTAGCTGAGATGGATTATCGATGTGAACTAATAGCTGCTCAGTTGATTGACATTTGGAGACGATGTGCTTCCATCTAACTAAGGCTTCTTTGATTTGTGGTGAATCTATATTCGAGTCGATCAACCCTAATATGCACATTGCTGATGCTTGCAGATGCGGGATGTAGCGAACTAAGCCAGAATCATCTGCTAGGGCTCCATCATTGATCGGTTTGAGAACACCTTCCACCTCGGTCCGCAAGTCAGCAAGCCCATCTTGTGAACCCATGTGAATAGTGAGAAGCTGCAGCAAGGTTCTCAATCTGCGGATTGGATGTCTTTCAACAGAGTAAAACTCTAATAAAGTCTTTATCATAGGGCTTGACAAATCCGATTCGTAGCGGAACTTCTGATCTTTGCAAACGATGGCGTAGAGGTCGTGCTCAAGAGCAGTAGCTTTATCCGATCCAACAAGCAACCAAGTCCAATCGTTATGTTTTCGGTCGAGCTTAGCAAGGTTGCAGACTGTCCTTGAAAGCAATTCGACGTCGGAATTCTGTTTCCACGCTACCCACCAAGGTTCTGTTGCGAGGCTAGCGGTGATTTTTAACACAACTTCTTGCCGAACAAGATGATCTCTGATGGACCGGAGAGCATCAGTAGCATCGTCTAATCTGCCTGAAGCTCTACATAGCTCGGCAAATCTCTCCCATTTGACTAATAGTTGAGCTCGGGTCTGCTCCGCTTCAGGCCGGTTCTTCACGCTATCGATAGACTTTCGAAGTGCTTTAAGAGATGTAATTTCTGTCGTCTTCGTAATGGATTTTCGTAAAGCAAGGTGTTGTTGGTAGTATAAATGAGATATTTTGATATGATATGAGGGAGATGGATTGCTCTTAGTTTCTAATCGAGCTAAATCTTCAATATTTTCTAAAAGGGCTAAACTGTCTTGGAGAGTAGAATCCAAAACATCCCAGGCGAGTCGACCATTGTCTAATAGCAGTTTTGAAAGCATCAGAGCTGAGTCGAGGATGTGAGGTAAATATGTTGATAATAACCCCCGACGTTGGTCGAACCGAATCAAGTCCTTCGCGCCATTGGCCGAACTTGGTGGCTTGCCTAGCCATCTCAGAGAAAATCGAGGTAGTTGGAAAATGAAAGTATCCAGATGTTCGCTAATATTCTGTGGAATTGTCGTAGAGTTATCTTTCTTTTCCGTGATTACGTTCATCACAGATTTCCGCAGGAGACATACGCTGGCTAAAAGGTCGTCCATTTCCGCACTTGTACCACCCAGCGACCCTCGCAACCCGTCTAAGACTTCGATCAGTACATTCTCGTCAACCTGAGAGGACTGCTTGAGAGATAGCGCCAATAGTCTAGCGGTGACAGCGCAACATCTTGCAGCGGAATCTTCGGCTGGGTTGGTTAAAGATTTGACCTTCGTTAACCATTTCTTCGCCTCGTTGGTATTACCAGATTCTTGGGACGCTGTGGCGAGTACTTGGTATATCGTGGCTGAGGGGGACCGAGATGATTCTGTCGGCCTAAGTCCTAACTTTTCGACACGTTTCCAGACCTGGGAGAAAGCGGTCACTGCCATTGAAAAGCGGCTGGGGGATGCTCTTCTAATAAAAGCAGAAAGGCATTTAGAGAGAGGTGATATGATATCCTTATCAACATCCCCCCTATGTCCAGATACACTCCATGACTGCAGACGCGTAACTAACCCGAGAGCTTGTACCTCTAATGCCACCTCTGGACTTGGGGACAGTTTCGGCTCCACTGCAAAGTCATCATCCTTAGCTGCTACGCTTGGCGTTAAAGAAAGGAGAGTTTGAGATAAACTCTCTAGCTGTCTAGCGCATTTGGTCTGGTCTGGATTGGCACCCTGAAGAGACGATAGGAGTAGTTTTATCGGCGAAGAAGGACAAGTCTCCCGTAATAGGGGTAAGATGCCCTCGAGATGTGAGGACTTTTTGAGGCCATGTACAATGCGAAGAGCCTGAAGTTGAGTGGTGATGGCCAAACCAAGTAATGGGCCAGACGGAACAATCGCAGTGAAATCCAGCAACTCGGCAAGTGTTTTCGATGTTATACTGGGTTCCGGTTTCAAGCGGGCCGCTGTGTTCTTAACTTCCTCATTATTCACACGTCCTAAGCGTCGTTTTAATACTCTAAGCTCTCTTAATGCTATATCAAACTGATTCAGCCCGATGAGTTTGCTGATAAATGATGACATTCCCGCCTCCAGCTGCAGTTCAGGGAGTTGGACAGCCTTTGACGACTCTAGAGTTGCTAATGCTGCAAAGGCCACTCGTGCGCATTCTATTAAAGATAGACACCCCATTGAAGAGGTAGATTGTAAGGGTGATCGAGATGCCTTCGAAACAGTAGGCGATGTCGCAACTCGATTCAAAGATCGGGATGATAATGGCTTCATGGGGGCTGAAATCGATCTCCGAAGGCCATTTCGAGTTTCACTTTTAGTAGGATCGTTCTTAGTAGATTCGCGCGCGTCTAGACTTGAATTAGGTGGTAATTTCGCTGCCTCTCCCAGAGCTTTGAGACTGGCGGTAACAATCTGAGTAGCCAGGACGGCCTTTTCTTTAGCTGATAAGCATCCTCCATTACCTTGTGTACGCGGCCCTCCTGATGTAGTGTTCGTTCTACTTGGCGCTCTTGTTAATTTGGTCGATCGCGGTTTCGAGATTGGTTTTGAGGCTTCGTTGTTTGCGTCGTTATCTTGGAGAAGTTCTTTGACAGTAGCTGAGATTGTAGCAGTGCATGTCGAAACCGATGTGACAGCATTTCGCACAGAATCGGCACGGGTTTGTATGGATTCCATGAGGGGTGAATTGCTATATTTGCCAACTTGTACTCATATCGTCATTAGGAGAAAAGAATGAAGGAGTTAAGAAAGCGGTTAGCTATAGCACGCAGAATAGTATCTTATGCCAGTTAAGAAAGAAGCAAATAAATTCTGGTGACAACACTTAGACTTGGAGGAAATGTGAAATGTTTATAATATTTTTAATGTCGGAAGCCCGAGTTCATGGACTTTGATAATATGTGTAATTCGCAGTAAATACAAGGAAGGTGGGAGTTTATTGCGTGAATCCACGTTGAATCCATGTTAGAGTGGATGCTGTTTAGCTAAACTTAGACCAAAGACAAACCTAAACATGTTGGCCGGGCAACTGAAACGATAAGTACCGATATCCGTTTAAAGGGTCCGTGCGTTTTAGATTTGGGGCTGCAGATACATCATGATGTACCCATCTTAGATAATACAGTACTTCAACAATTTTACTCAGCATCTATACCTTTTTTCTTTCTTTTTTTCTCTCTCCAGCATCAAGATACGTCTCTCTAACATGGACAAATTAATATGGCGCAAAGCTGCGCATACCACGGCATCCTTTCGACCAGCAGCAGCCACGAAGATAATATTCCTCAATCAACCCCGCCTCGTCCGACATGCTAGCACGATCCCGTCCATTACGCAACCATCATTTTGGAAGAATATGATACCAAAACCATTCCGACGCTCAAAAGAATCTGTGAACTGGAGAGTGTCTAAAAAGCCCAAGTCAAAGGAATGGAATCCAGCAACATTCTATATCGTCATCTTCCTCTTTATTGGCTCCATGGCTATCCAGATGATCGCCTTGAAGAAGGACTTTGACACGTTCATGAGGCGGTCCGAAGTTCGCATTGGGTTGCTACGTGAGGTCGTAGAGAAATTACAAAGAGGTGAAGAAATTGATGTCCAGAAAGCCTTAGGCACTGGCGATGCGGAGAAGGAGAAAGAGTGGGAGGAGGTACTCAGAGAGATCGAACGCGAAGATATCCTTAAGGATACGAAGAAACCCGAAAAACCAAACCAACCCGTGGTAGATTCCGTAAAGGCTGAGTTCAGTAATTCAACCGCTGCGGAAATTAAGGAGCGCCCTAAGACGAAGACTGGAAGCTACTCTAATTTTTTCTAACCTATAAATTTTATTGTAGGTTGCATATATACAACACGACTATTATGCTATTACGACATCATGTCTTTGAATACTGAGGCGTTATGTTGTTTAGGGCTATGATCATGGCCCTCTGCAGCAACCTTTATACTAGAGGACTTTCTTAATTGCTCTACAAGAGCAGGTAACAGCTCGTCAGTGGATAACTCTATTCTTACTCCTTGATTTCCCTTTTGGGACGGATCGAGGTTAGCAAAGAATGTTTCTTCCCCTCTGACGCCTCCAAGATTGATGATCGCAATGGGGATGCCTCGATCCTTAGCCCTCTTAGCCAATCGCCACGCAGAATAAGTCGCCAGGGATGTACCTAAGACCAACAAGCTTCCAGCATTTTCAATAGCTTGCTCTGCTGCAGCCCTGACAGGCACGCGAATATTCTCTCCGAACATAGTAACTGCTGGTTTCAAAATCCCAGCTGTGCTAGTTGGCTTCCATGCACCATCCGTATCAACCTCAACCTTCGCATAGCTCCCATCCGCAATGGCAGGCGGAGATGTAAGGCATCTCGGGCAGGCTGGGTAACGGAATGTTGTGTATGGCGCATCTGGGAGATCAACATCACCGTCAGGATTCGTCCTCAAACCCCTAGCTCGCCTTTCATCCGGATTCTCTGTATCCAAAGCACCAGAAGCTAGAACCTCTTGTAGGAGCTCTGCCCAGGCAGGGTTTAACCTAGCTAGCTCATGCTGAAATGTGTCTCGCGGCAGTTCTTCATGGCATGACGTACATATGCATGATCTTAAGTAGCCATGTAACTCAATCGTGGAGAGTTGAGGATGAGCTTTTGGATGAAACGAATCCACATTTTGCGTAATCACACTCCGAACTAGTCCCAAGTCGCCCAAGTGTTTCACCGCATAGTGACCAGCATTAGGTTTTCCTTTCAGTAGAGTGGTCCAGCCGAGAAAACTCCTAGCCCAGTACCGTTTCCTAGCTTCGTGGTTCTGAAGAAACTCGCTGTAATAGATGGGCCGATATGTTTTGTTTACTCGATATGTACCATTAGGTCCTCGGTAGTCTGCGAGTCCGCTAGCTACAGATATACCGGCCCCTGTGAGGACTACCGTAGATGGAGATCCTCTTGTCGATGCTGCTCCAAAGAATTCCTGCAGAGCCGCAATAGCTCCTGAGATGGTATTCGCGGTCTGAGGGATGACAGTGGGAGATGCTAGGACATCCGTATACGGAATTCGCATATATGGTTTGCGCATTTGGAGAGATTAATAATAAGATATAATTATATTGAAGAATTCAATTGATAATAAAATCTAATTTATTACTTGTCATATAAAGAAGTATAAAGAGGGCATATAATTCTTCATTCTATCAAAAAGGTTTGATGATAATAATATTGTGTGAAGTGAAGTCATTACTTATTAGGTATCTTACCTAAGTCGAGCCATGAGAAGTAAAGAAAGATGAGGTAAGCGGCTACAAATGTAAGGTTTGGCTATGAGGTAACGGCGGGTGGACCCGTAAGTAAGCTGCATTTACCATCTTTTTATTAGACGTTGTGTTACGCTATTAGAGAACTTCCTATGTATACCTACATATAGATTTATAAGATATAGCGAGTGCGATAGCGAGCTTGATACCGCTATAACGGTGATTTCTTGGTTCAAATACCCCTGAAGACGTGGGGTCGGCTAGGGGCTTTTCCAGGTTCCCTGATCCCACGCTACGGCAGCAGCTGACGCAGCTCTAGTCTAGGGTCCTTTTTTTTTTCTTTTCAATTCAGCTAAAAAGATCAAATCAGATGGATTCTCATTGGCTTCTAATTGGTACCGTTCTCCCACGCCGACCCATCCGATGTCGTCGCAGTTCAAGGAACACGCACGCATCGCAAGCATTTTTTACATAGTACAACGGCGATTCATGTTTTAGATATACATAATCATTTCACTTGCCAGTCCCAGGAATTAACGCGCGTCACTTGTCAGATGGTCAGATCCCTAAGTCTTGTACCTGCTCCATTACACCCATTACACACTATTACGTGGTCGGCGTACTTTCCCTCTTTGTAAGATGTTTCCCCAAGGTCAACTAGGTTGGCCGTGCCTAGGCGGCCTGAGCCTGCGCCAGGCTGTCGCAGCCGGGCCTGAGCTTACAACATTGACTACCGGATTAAGCCCAAGTTTTATCCGTCAGCAACAGCCTTTTTATCACATTAATTGGACACATAAACCACACCGGGCACAACCACGTCGAGTCTTTCAAACTTCTTGTTATTCTTCTTCACAAGTACAATCTTTTTCTATCACTCATTCTTCACCATTTATTCATCGCCAATTCACTCGTCTTTTTCCCATCATGGCCACGCTCTCCCAGACGCGTAGCCATAGTGGCCATAAACATAGTCATGGACATCATCACCATGATAATGTTTACCTTACCTCGCAGAATAAAAATGATGCTGGTGTTCGTATTACCCGAATTGGCCTATACTCAAATCTTGGTATGGCAATTGCAAAAGGGGCTGGTGGTTACTTATTTAATTCCAAAGCAATGGTTGCCGATGCAATCCATAGCTTAACAGATCTCGCATCTGATATTCTGACTTTGGCTACTATATCTTGGAGCTTGAAACCCCCCACGGATAAATATCCTACTGGGTTTGGAAAGGTCGAAAGTTTAGGATCGTTGGGTGTGTCGAGCATGCTTCTTTTCGGAGGTCTTTATATGGGGTACGGCAGTCTCTTAACGCTCTATGGTCATTTTTTCCTTGATGCGGCCTCTGCAGCAGAGTTGATATCACACGCGCATGCACACAGTCACAGCCATGGTCATGAACATGGTGCCGATGTAGTACCCAGTCTGCATGCTGCATGGTTAGCTGCGGGCACGGTTGCCATTAAGGAGTGGTTGTATCATGCAAGTAAGTCTTCCAACCAATTCGCCGAAACTCTTGTGGTAAATATAGGTGCTAACCAATCGTCCTTCATAGCTATGAAAGTTGCTCGCGAACGAAAATCATCGGTCCTCGCCTCGAATGCCGTCCACCACCGAATCGATAGTCTCACTGGCATTGTCACGTTAGCAGTGATTTTAGGCGCGAACTTGGTAGAAAATGCAGCATGGTTAGATCCTGTCGGGGGTCTCCTGATATCCTTGATGGTGGTGAAGGCCGGGGTTGAGAACACTATGGCGGCTTTTCTCGAATTGGCCGATAAGACTGTTGATGATGAAGTCAAAACTTCGGTCCGAAAACAGGTTCAGAGAGCTTTCTCAGATATTCCCGAGGGACATGAAATAGAGCTCCGCGGCGTCACAGGTGTCAAGTCCGGTCAGAATTACCTGGTGGATTTGGAGGTAGCCGTGCCGGGAAGCTGGACAGTAGAAGCTGTTGGCGAAACGGAAGACCAAATCAGGACTCGGGTCGGTAGCAAGGTGCGAGGTGTTCGCAGGGTACGCGTCCGTTTCCTACCTAAAGATATCGTTACCCCCAAGTTTGACGAATTCATCCCTGGCGATGTGAGCCCTCGATCGAGCCCGGAGCCTGAGGACGACCCCAGTCACAATCACAACCACAATGGGAACGGAGACCATAAGTCGAAGTAAACCTATATGAGGAGAATATAATCACTTTTGGCGTTAAGGCGTTGGTTACATTCTAGGCACCTCGGACGGTCGGCATTCGATGATACCAAAACTACTCGGAAATAAAAGGTGAGGCTCTCTTGGCAGAGCCTAAGTGTACTATATCTTCGACCTGCATCACCGGACAAACGGTATTCGGAAAGATCTAGCACTCGATGTTGCTAACAATAGCATTTTGATGAACATAGCAAAAGCAGAAAGGGGATGTCTGCGAAACTTTGGAGAGATAAGGCCCTAAGCTGGCTACACTCTTATTTTACTACGTATAGCAGATATCATAGCATTAGAAACAGCAACATGGAAAGATTTATAAACGTGCGAGTTCGGAGACGTTTGCAAATATAATAACCTCGGCGCTAAGATCGTAGCTCTAATTGAAGGTACAGATCTCTATGTACAGAGGTAACAAGTTTAGGTACCTATGTACCTAACTTAGGTACCTTAGCGTCTTGAGGGGGGTTGACATAACTGTATATATTCGGCTCAATTATCCTAGACTGTACATATACTGTTTATTACAATATACCGCTCAAATTATTTACGTATCCCTATTTTTACCATTCATTAGTTGAATAGTATTGGTACGGCTCCCCCGCCGCACGTGCCAATATTTTAAAACGTATATGGGATAGAGCCATATGTATACCGCTCAATTGAATAAGCGGTATAAATATCGTTCAATCAGAATGAGCGGTTCAAAAATTGAACCGTTCAGGGATATGAACCGACCAATCAAATAAGCCGTATATTTACAGCTCAATACTCAGGATATAATAGATTCAATTAAATAGATTCATCAAATAGATTTAATTGAATAGACTCAGTCAAATACCTAGATTCAATTGATTTAGTATATGTGGCCTTGTATGTGGCCTTGTATGTGGCCTTGTATGTGGCCTTGTATATATGTGGCCTTGTATGTATGTGGTATGTGGTGTGTGCGCACCTGCCCTGTTAGATACATATATACCACACTAAGAATACCATGTACGTGCGCGCGTAACGTGACTACTGATATTGATTGGTCTATTTGAATGATGTCCGTAACTTAACCAATTGAAAAAATAGATCCTGTGACTTTGTGACTGTAATATTTACCTAAGTAAAAAAATAAATATGTGACATGTAAATAATAAAAGTACAGCCTCATACAATTAGTATGAGGCTGTACCTCCCTTTTGTTACATATGCCTATACACCATATGAACCGTTCAGATTTTGAGCGGTTCAACTATAATGAGCCGTACTTATACCGTATAAACACGGCTCATTATATAAGCGGCTCATTTTGGTTTAGCGTTCCTTTTTTAAAACGTTTATAATTTTTTGAACTACTCAATTAGGTTTAACGGTTCGAAATTCCAACTGCAACTTTTCCATATAAGTATTAGTGCGGTTCAATTTTTTGGATAGTATATATACAGTATATATACCGTTTGGTAGACCCCCCTATAGACGCTAAGGTAAGTACATGCAATGCATGCAATACACCCCCTCGGGTCTTCTAGAGCAGCTCTATCAGTTTCCAAGATTGGAGCTAATGACGTTTTAGCCTAAATTGATAAGGGACGGCATTGCCCCGCGATACCGAGATTTGGGTCACTGGTGTCATAGTATTAGACATTAGACGTACGATCTGTAAATCTTGCATCAATAGCTTTTCATAGGTTTATTAAATAATTGTGAGGGACTTTATTAGAGTTCGAAATTTCTAGGATTATTTTCCTGTCTTAGAGTGTTCTTCCCATGCTTAGATTTTAGATTTTATGAATCCCTACCGTTTCTAATTCTGATATACATCTGCGTTGATTTAACTAACAGAGCAATATGAGCGCGGGGCCATTATACCTCGGGTTTGATCTCTCAACCCAGCAATTAAAAGGTGAGTTCGTGCAATTATTAACTATACAGTATAACTTTATATATGCAGAGAGGAACCCTTTTATTTTCTTTTATTATTATTTTTACTAACCAGCAACAGCAATTGTAATTGCTTCGGATCTCAAAGTTATCTCTGAAGCAAAAGTTGACTTTGACGCCGATTTTGCTGCCAAGTATAAGATAAAGAAGGGCGTTCAAACAAACGAGGATGAGGGTGAAGTATATGCACCCGTGGCCATGTGGGTTGAGGCCGTAGACCTTGTCTTAACCCGGCTGAAGGAGAAGGGTTGCCCTGTCAAGCATATTAAAGGAATTAGCGGTTCTGGTCAGCAGCATTCAAGCGTCTACTGGAGCGAACATGCTGAGTCTGCCTTAAAGACACTCGATAGCGGGAAATCCTTACTTGACCAGCTGTCCAATGCCTTCGCCTATGAGTTCGCGCCGAACTGGCAAGACCACAGCACCCAGATTGAATGCGATCACTTCGATGCTCATTTGGGCTCTAAGCAGAAACTAGCCGATGCCACAGGGAGCTCTGCTCATCATGTAAGTGGCCTCGTGATCTTACCAAAACATCAACATAACTAATATGGAGTAGCGTTTTACAGGTACACAAATTCTGAGAATGCGAAGGCGACGCCCTGAGGTCTACAGCAAAACTGCTCGCATCTCGCTTGCCTCTTCATTCTTAGCCTCTCTATTTCTAGGAGCTATTGCGCCGATAGACATAAGTGACGTTACCGGTATGAATCTATGGGATATCGCCGGCGAGAAGTGGAACGAGTCACTCCTAGAGTTGACAGCAACTAAGGAGGGTGTACCCGAGCTGCGAAAGAAGCTTGGTGATGTACCACTAGACGGAGGTGCCAGCCTGGGCAGCATCTCCTCGTACTTCGTAAAACAATACGGATTTAGCCCCGACTGCCAAATCGCGCCTTTTACAGGTGACAATCCCGCGACGATCTTATCGTTACCTCTGCGACCACATGATGCGATTGTCTCGCTAGGCACGTCCAGCACGTTCCTCATGAATACACCTAACTATAAGCCCGACCCTTCGTATCACTTCATGAACCACCCCACCACAAAGGGACATTTCATGTTCATGCTGTGCTACAAGAACGGCGGCTTAGCTCGCGAGAAGGTCCGCGATAATCTTCCTACGCCGTCGGGTTCAGACCCCTGGGAGAATTTCAACAAGCAGGTGTTGGAGACACCACCGTTAGACGTCAAGAAGGAAGGCGACAAGGCGAAGTTAGGCCTTTACTTCCCACTACCGGAAATCGTGCCGAACGTCAAAGCAGGCACCTGGCGGTACATTTGCAACAGCGCGGACGGGTCGGACCTAAAGGAGACGTCGGACTGGGGCGCGGAGGCAGACGCCCGCATAATCGTCGAGTCCCAAGCTCTATCAATGCGTCTGCGCTCGCAGAACCTAGTATCGAAACCTACCGATCGCCCGCAACTCCCAGCCCAACCGCGCCGCATCTACCTAGTCGGCGGCGGATCGCTAAACCCCGCAATCGCGCGCGTGTTCGGCGACGTGCTAGGCGGTGCGGACGGCGTATACCGGCTCGACGTAGGCGGCAACGCGTGCGCGCTCGGCGGCGCGTACAAAGCGCTCTGGGCGCTCGAGCGGCGCGACGAGAACGAGAGCTTCGACGACCTGATTGGGGAGCGCTGGCGCGAGGAGGATGCCATCCAGAAAGTGGACGACGGGTTCCGCGACGCGGCGTTTGCGAGCTATGGCAAGGTGCTGGGTGCGTTTGAGAATATGGAGAAGATGATCTTGGAAGTTGCGCATAACTAGACTACCTGCTAACTTAGAATTCCGAATTCCGAATGATGTGATGATATGATATACTTGAGCAAGGGATGGCGAAGCGGGAGTATGTTCTTGTGTACCTAAGTAAGGAGGTAGTGAGGGGTTCTATTAAATAGAGTGCTAGACGTCTGATCTAAGAATTACCTATATGGCTATGTGGTCTTAGCTTAAGATCAAGACTGAATAGTTATAACCAGTGACATATTCACTTTAGATTCTTAAATGCTGGTATTTGCAGCGAGCCAATGTAATTCGTATAAGATCGAACTCAGGTTCTAGTAGTAACTACTTACATGTACAAGACAAGCAGATATATCTCTAGGTTAATAATCTTATTAGGGCTATCATACTATATTTTCGAGTTTGCTTCTTTTAAATGATAAGTGATGACAAGTTTCATAGACCTTTAGTTAACTTAAGTTGTAAATGTCTATGTATTTCATATTTTTACTTAAACTCTGCTAAACTAATTATTCATTAACCACCAACCGCAATTCTTGCATTTAACCGCTTAAATAAGATAACACATCTCTACATTTGCCGTGTCTGGCCAGAGTCGTGATGGCAAATTACCCCTTTTCATAATCCGAGGCATGTGAGAGAGTGAGATAAATGTAGCTTTAGGTTAGTAGTCTTACATGAGCCCACAATCTTCGACGACGTCATCAGCTCGTATCTAATCATGAAACGGGTGAGTTCGCAGATCTAGCGCGCAACTACTATGTAAAAACATTCGACTAATACTATCACTCATTGATTGCTTAGGGGATGTTTATCGCTTCGATCTCATTAACAATATTGTGAAGCGGCTTCCCAATCCCTTACTCCTCCCACCGGACGTATTATACGCATAGATATATACTAATGGGTAGGCTCATGGGTTCTCGCTTTTTCTGGACACGATGATTCTAGGTCCCGTTTCGTACTTGGATTGTATCGTTTTCTGCGCATTTCTGGCACCACAGTTGATCATACACGTCGGGTTACTCGAAACCGTATTAGTGGGTTTACAATGCTTGCCCTTTTTATGTAAGTTCGTAATTGAAGGATACATGAAGAATATTAATACAGAGGCAGTATTTCAATTACCTTTCGAGTTGATCTGCGAACGCTACTTTGTCAAATATGAGCAGCAATCTCCATTCGTACAGAAGGCATCCCTATTTGAAGACCTCGTCGTCCGGTGTGTTCGCTATGCGTTTGCAAACATACCTCCCAAGGTTGGGAGGGTATTCTTTTCCAAGCTGGTGGCCCTGCCATTCCTAAAGTTTAGAATGTTGCGGCATGGCTATTTAAAATCTCCCATATATTGGCGTGAACATAATGATGTAAGAGAGTTCTCGATTTTATTGGAGGTGAACACGTCTGAAGGACTTGCTAATTATTCCGTAGAAGCGTTTCAAAGGATTATGGATCATCAAGGATCCAACAGCAAAACCTGATGTTTGCATATTTTACGCGCATGGTAGGAGATAATATGCAAATCCGGCACGAGATCCGAGAGTGACTAACAGCGATCCAGGGGGTGGCTTCTCGATGGGCTCGGCTTACTTTTATCTCGAGTTTCTGCTCACATGGCTGAGCCTATTAAATGATACCGGATATAGAAACCCAGCTATCTTTGCTCTAGACTATTCGCTAGTCCCTGATGCCAACTTTCCAACGCAGCTAGAAGAAGCCATTGCCGGGTACGAGCATGTGCTTTCAACGGTGCAAGATGCTAATAGGATTTGCGTTAGCGGAGACTCAGCTGGTGCTACCATTGTGCTCAGCTTGCTACTCCATATTGCTAATATCGGCTGTCACCCTGAAAAGATGAATAGAACTACCGGTGCACGGTGCCTGGGAAAACCTGGGATGGCAGTGCTTATTTCACCTTGGGTAACGCTGGTCTCCAGCAAGCATCAAAATACCACAAGTGACTACCTTAACGCCGAAAACTTGCATCGATATGCACACCAATACGCAGGAGAGAAAGTGTCGGTCAACGATCCGCTTTTATCACCGGGCAATTGTAGAGACGTTTCGTGGTGGAAGCATGCGGCACCTTCGAGAGGCATATTTGTGGCTTATGGTGCCGAAGAGGTCTTTGCCCCCGAAATTTCAGCTCTTATTAAGTTCTTGGAGGAAAATAATATAAAAGTTCACAGTAGAGAAGAAAAGGGAGGAATTCATGCTTGGCCGGTAGCCTGTCTATTTCTTAGTAGCTCATCAAGCAACAGGAAAAAAGGATTAAAGACTTTAGTAGAGGAGATTCGAGATAACATTCATTAGATCTAAACCAAATCTAATATCTAATATAATAGTAACGCAGCCGCTTGGCATAAGACTCATGTGAACTCTGTGGCGTGCTGATGTCATGTCAGATTAGATCAAGTAATGCCATCATAAACTTAAACAACAGAAAAGAAACCATAGAGTATAAAATACTCGGCTTCTAAACTAATGTCATTACTTAGTCTCTGGACAAAGCTCTTTGCATAATTATCATCATTCATGACACGCCAAGGCGTTTCTTTCGCTAGAAGCAAGTATCCTTGGAGTAACAACTGCACCTATTGTAGGTAGGCTGTATACTAAGTGGGACACCGAGGCCGAGGGTGAAGAGTAATGAAATATGTACCTATTTATTATAGAAAGTCCGAAGCAATGTCACATGGATTTCGGATAATTCTTACGAAAAAACAATAATAGGAAAAGAAGGGAAAACTCCAATATAAGGCTGAGCAAGAGTCATTTACCTTAAGAAAATCGCCCCCCGACCTCTGCAGCCTAATGATCTGCGGGAGCCTTGATGAGACCGGCTTATGCGCGACAAAAAATCCTCGATTCTCTTAGTGTCGATGGCGACACACACGTGCTAAATTCATTTGTGACAAGATCAACATGGATATTTGGTCTTGATAGTTGACATGTAATTCGCATAAATCTTCACGAATGTGTAGATTTGTAGATGTGTAGATGGAAGAGTTGAGTGACCATCCTTTAATGATAAACAATTCGTATAGGGTGTTGTGTTCGGTGAGTACAAGGAAGAATGTTACATTAAAATTGGTGTTAGATTTCAGGTAGGTTGTATTATTTTTCCTGTACTTTTTTTTTTATGCTGTGGCGGTGCTAATCGCGATTACTGGGACCCCCTGATTTGATTTCGCCGTTCTGGTGGTCGTTGCGGATATAAAACCAGTGCTCCTTCGCCGCCCGTGCTGCGGTCGACAGAATTTGGCGCAGAATTCTGAACCCGCTGCGTTGGTTCGAACAAGACCTTGACCCGAGCTTTCCCTTGCCAACCAACCAAGCAACATAATCAGCAACTACGCACAGACCTATTATTACACCCCACTTTCACCGCCCGGCAATTTACAACGCTTAAACGCTGCATCCCGTATCCCATCAATTATTGGCCTTTACCTTTTAGTGTAAGGTTTTTTTAATGCTCGGCGTACCGAATCAAGCCGACCTACAAAGTTGAAACACTGTACTATACAATTCAATTCAATCTCCATTAACAGGTCCTTTAGTTCCCCGCGGCCGCAGTCACTTCCTCTAGCAGTCTCAAGGGTTCTTTGTGCGGAATATTACCTCCTGAGTCACTCAGTACATTCAATACATTCAGTACAATACGGTTCTGGTACGGATACGAACAAGTATCTAACCAACCATTTAATTGTGTTCTTGCCCGCGCGGTGGACTATTTAGGCATACAACGCAAACACACCTCAGACCTGCATCATTGTGTGCGTATGATCATTGGGTGTTACCTCCTGCATTAGTCCACCCCTACCTTCCACTGCTACCTCCTGCCCGCGTACCTAGGTATCTTGTACTGTAGGTACTTTTATAACTATTGGTCGCGATTGTATAAAAAATAGGCCCTTGTTCTCCTAGCGACTTTGACCAGCCACACAAACTGCACCTACCCAAATATTTCACCACAAAAAAAACGGCTGCACTGCAACAAAGTCTCAAAAGAGCTGCCCCGCCATTCCAAAGCTTTGACCCTCCCCAGTTTTCTACGGTCTACCGTTGCGAAATTTTAACATTTAACATTGAGACCATGTCAACCCAAGACAGCTCGTATGCGCCAAAGTCGCCCGACCTTTCTTCTTTTTATTCCAGCTCAACGTCTGACATTCCCCAGAACCATAACGCCCCAGGTGGCTATCTCTTTCAAGCTGGAATTGGGGCTGGTCTAGGAGCTGGTACAGGAGCTCCTTTAAGATATAATCAGCCACAGCCCCACCAATACAGCACTTATCAATCATCCATACCGTCTTCTGTACCGCCTACGAGCGCTCCTGCATACGGTAGTAACGGCAGCGACAACACCGCTTTCAGCACCTATCCGTCTCAAGGCACTGCCGGACAACAAGGACAATACTTCTCTCCCCGACAACAAACACAATTCGCCCAAACAAACCAATCGCCATATATTCTACAACCCCCGAACGCTTCCGCGTCCTATTACTCGTCCTATCCCGAGCCTGCATCACCCGCTACCTATCATCAACTACAACCACAGCTACAAACACAGCCTTCCCAACCTCAAACCTCGCAACCATCTACTGTTCTCAACCAATTCAACCCGTCAAAGCCACAAAACACTATGCCGCCACGAAAGATCGCGCCGGCAGCAAAGCAAAATGAGGTGGAACCGTCTCCAGTTAAAACCAAGTTCCCCACAGCGCGTATTAAGCGCATAATGCAAGCTGATGAGGAAGTAGGCAAGGTCGCCCAGCAAACTCCCATCGCAGTTGGAAAAGCGTTGGAACTGTTCATGGTACAACTCGTTCGTAAAAGTGCCGAGGTGGCCAGGGAGAAGAATTCCAAAAGAATCACAGCACCAATGCTCAAGCAGGCAATAAGCTCAGCTATTGAATGGGATTTCCTACAAGACATTGTCGCCAAGGTGGGCGAGGAAAAAGAAGGTGGCAAGAGCTCCGGCAGAACTAAACCTGATAGCGATAGTGACGAAGAGGGAGACGTCGGAGAGACTAAGAAGAAGGGAAGGGGTGGGCGCAAGAAGAAAGCCCCTGCGTAGCCATTGGCTAATACTGTGTCATCTGGTTCTCTTTCCACGGGCTACACGACAGCAATGAGGTCACGATGAATGATTTAGGCCACTGGCGTTTATACCTAGGGGCATTATACCGGCGTTGGAGGTTTAGGGGCTACCCTGAATTTATGATTGGAAGACGGATCTGGGCGGCTTGCGAGACGAATATCACCAATTGTATGGGGTAATTAGGTACTTAGGCAAGGAATGCAGTCGGTACGCGCCATAACTATGGCAGTCAACACGTCTTTATTTGCCTAATGATTGATACCTCGAAGTGATTGTTTTTTATCGATTGCTTTATTTCTTTGTTGTTCTATTCATAGTAGCACTCGAGGCTCGATATTGAATGCCCTGCTTAGCATAATATTAAAGATATGCCATCAACATAAAATCGAGTTAGTATAAAGAAAGAAATTGCCTGTAAAGAAGCTTGTTAACATATGGATTTTATAATAGTTCATTAGGCATAGCTATAGGTAACAAGATAACCTAGTTAGTTATAGGGTATGTTACTGTATTTTTGTATTATTTTGATATTTTAAGCATTTAAACATTCAGGTTAAAGAGGTAACTAGCTAAAGCTGTGTAACTTCAGGTCCCGTCTTACAGGCGAACCTATTATTAAAGTTTAGACAGCTCTCGGTAGATTCAGAAGCTCTTACCGTCGAATAGAGGTCAGGAAGTACTGCACATGAACTAACACTTTCCTCGTGTAATAAGCGTGCAATAAGAGTAGCGCTAAGAATACGTGAGCCAATCAAGAAACTGTAAGTCCGTTAGAAGTGGATATCAAAAGTACATGTACCTGCCAAGAAGGCCAGAAAGGGACATTTATTACTCGATGCTTGTGTCGTATTGACTTATGAGAGAAGTAGCGCGCCGACACCAAACCCTCAAATCTTTGGCCAAAGCAACTTCGACACTTCGACATTTCGACGTTTCGTCACCTTCACCATCCTATGCTTCGCTGCACCCAACAGCCATGACAGCTTATCTTTCTTATTCGGTACAATCATTTAATGTCGAACATAGGTGAGGCATCAGGCCTCACGATCTCTTCTATTCAAAAAGACAACTCGCTATGTCGTGGGATCTACTCCAGCGCCTTATCCAGAGTGATGTCTTCAACCAGAACCCCTTTCTCTCTGTTTCCTATCTATCGTAGGCAAACCCCTTCCATAACTTTACTACGACAACCTTTTGACCCATTTTATACAGTCGATATGCAGACCATGTCGGAATCCACTATGTTTTGTGCTCAAAGCTCCGCCAATTTCCCTACGAGGATATCGAGTTCTTCTTACCTCAACTATGCCACCTTATAATAAGTGTCGACAATGACTCTATGGCATTGGAGGAGTTTCTGTTAGACCTATGCGAAGAATCCGTAACTGCTGCTCTACTGGTCTGCGCCCGTAACGAAACCGTGCTCTAAGAATAGTTTGCTGAGTAATGCTTTATAGACGTTTTGGCTCTTCCAAACTTACCTTCACGATCTCGCTTCGACGCCGCAGGCTCAGGCCTTTAAAACCTGCCGGAGAGTTTACAACAAAGTACAACATATTGTGTTTGGACACTCGGATAGCGCAAGACATGAGAAGATTAAAGAGAACATTTTACCTGTTACAGTACTTGCAAGTTTTGTCTTGGCCAGTATCGGCCTCCCAACCCTTCCACAATGGGCGGGCCCATTAGCTGTTGCGCAGGCGAGGAGGTCGCAACCATCTACCAATGTCATATCGGAAACGAGCCTACAGGGTCAGTCAAACCAGCCAAGCCAGATGTCCAAGGTTACCAGGAGTCAGACTGTCACCGGAAACACAACTAGATCACGCCGACCTCGTGATTTAGCCCGAGTAGGAAATGCGTCCGATTCTAAACAAGCCACATCATCACCGAGAAGACCACCTCATATTGTCACTCATATATCTGCGAGTCCTGAAAGGAGCGAAGATGCCGCGGCCGAATCGCGAAAACCAACCTACGTCGACAGCATGTTGTTGGACGCTCGCTTAAGTTCGTCTTCTCTTCCTCTTCCTGAAGTGAGGTCGCCAAGGATGATAACGCGACCGATCACCCCACTCTCCGCTGGCCTTCCACGACCAACAGACACAATCTCGCGCAGGCATTCCCATCATATAAAGACCCTTGCGAGTCTAGCAGAGATGACCGAGATTCAGAAAGCCAGGTTACTCAGACAGAACTATTTCCATTGCCAAACCGCATTTCTGACAGCATTGGAGGACATATCCAATCGGCTAGTTATAGTGCCAAAGCCGGCCCGCCTTAGTGCTTTGCGCGCCGAACTCGCACTAATTGCTAGAGACTTACCAGCTGAGCTGGATATACCCATCATATGCCCGCCTACTTTGGTAGATGGCTCACCTGCAAAGAGTCGCCATCACCGTATCGTCAGGGTCAACCCTGCCGAAGCCACCGTTCTAAATAGTGCCGAAAAGGTGCCATATTTACTCATGATTGAGATCCTTCGCGATGACTTTACTTTCGATCCTAGCTCCGGGGAGAACCAGAGACTACTTAGCAACCTTGTGGCTGAGCAAGGTACTCGTAAGCGACTCTTCGATTTATCAGATGCGCCGGGAACGCCTGCTACTGAACGGGTGTCTGAACCTGTGTTGGAGAATATAGATAGCGTCTTCGAACCAACATCGGGGGACTTGGGAACATCACCGATGCTAAAGCCCTTCGATGATAATGGGTCCTTTGGTAAAAGAAACGGGAAACAACCCAGCCCTCGAAAGAGCGTGTCTAATGGCATAGCAAGCGCGTCTACGACTGACCTAACCCCATCGCGCACGTCGGCAGCGTCAACGTCGAGGTCAAGCAGTCCTGGTCCAATGAGGAGAGTAACATTACCGAGCCAACGCAATACGTCTACTGAGCAGCCCGATTTCTCGGCTCTGGCAACACATATGAGGACAGCATCACAAATGTTAGCCCAGCTTGATGCTACAAGTGGTAAACGCCCGCGGCAAGAAGTCGCAGCCATTAGGTCGAAGATTATTGCAAGCATGCAGAGCCTCGAAGAACAAAGTTTTGACCTTGATGATGGCCAAGGTCCTACGTTTGATTTGATCATGGCAAAAGCAAGCGCTGCAGCCCAGGCTTCGGAAAGTAATGACTTAGACGAAGATATTGACCCAACAAGCGACCCGAATGCCGGTGCCGCTCGAATGGAAAACGACGCAATGACAGGAGGAGTGCAGAGAACAGGTGACCGTGACGATCCTAGTGCCGCAGTATTTGGGGAGGCGTGGCACATGAAAAAGGAGCGGATACGAAAAACGTCACCGTACGGATGGATGAAAAATTGGGATTTGGTCAGTGTTATCGTCAAAACAGGAGACGATCTTCGACAAGAAGCGTTTGCGTGTCAGCTCATTCAGGTCTGCGATAAGATTTGGGTCGAAGCTGGCGTACCTGTCTGGGTGAAACTCATGCGAATCTTAGTCACTGGAGAGTCTTCGGGGCTTGTCGAAACAATTACGAACGGCGTCTCTCTGCATTCACTTAAGCGAAGTCTGACTTTAGCATCGATCGAGTCTGGCGTTAATCCTCGACGTCGCCTTGCCACGCTAAAGGACCACTGGGTTAAAACGTTTGGCAAGCCCGGGAGCGAGCCCTATAAAGCCGCTGTGGATGCGTTTAAGCGTTCCCTTGCAGCATACAGCATTATCTCATATATTCTACAGTTGAAAGATCGACACAATGGCAATGTGCTCATTGACAATGAAGGGCATATCATCCACATCGATTTTGGATTCATGCTCTCGAACTCGCCCGGCTCTGTTGGATTTGAAGCAGCTCCGTTCAAATTGACTTGGGAATATGTGGATGTGTTGGGTGGAGTTGATTCTCCGGATTTTGAAGATTTTAAGACGTTATGCAAGCAAGCTTTCCAAGGTAAGTCCAAGGAGACTAAGTATCTAAGCGAAATTTTATATCTAACGCTCTTCAGCTCTACGTCGGTGTGCAGACAATATTGTCGATTTGGTGAGAATGATGGGACTAGACTCGAAAATGCCCTGTTATGCAGCCGGGGTCACGCAAGCAACGGCAACGTTAAAGCAACGCTTCCAGCTACATCTAAGCGCCGATGAAGCCGAAAATTTCGTGGAGACCGATCTCATTACGAAGTCCCTAGGTAGCTACTACACACGACTGTAATTCCAACCCTTCCCTTAACCAAGCTGAATGCCATACTGACAATGCATAGTTATGACACTTTCCAATACCGCACCCAGGGTATATATTAGGTGCTTAGACATAGAGGCGTGTCCGTCGAGGCCTCGAGGAATTGTTTGCTAGCATCATGGCATTTGGGCGGCGTTGTCGGCGATAGATTCAGCGGCTTGGACTAACCTCCGCCTAGGACATTTATATATCTGAATGACTAGATCACAGTGGTGGGGTGATACCGATCTAGACTCGTAAATAGAGATGAAGCATTGATGGACTTGTTGACTATTGGTGCCGCATATTGATTTAGGAGAAACGCGAAAATATCGTCGTTCTTTGAATTGTAACCTTGATGCCTAGGGCGCATACGTTCTTTGCTCCTAGATGAATTGGATAGCATTAGCCTCTATAAACGCAATACACGTCATCTCAAGGAACTAGGTTATATCTGTGTCTTCCTGTATATAGACTAGAAACGGGATTGAATTTCAGATTAACTAAGTCTAAGCAGTCTTTGCTTATTGCACTTGGAATAGCAATGGGGCATAACGTTTAAATATTAGATTTTCTGATGAAGCTACATCTATAGTATATATATATATATAAAGCTTGAATATTGATAGATTATATTTATACGGTAATTTGTTTAATATTTAGGTAGCTATAAAAGAAGCAATACATAATGTACCTCAACCTAGGGATATGGATGCGCATACGCCACCCTCGACATGGTATGGACTTTTATGAATTACCGATGACACTCAGTCATCCCCCAGCCAATAAACAAGGTCATCGGTATAGAGTGCAGGGGATATCAGGATACGGAAAGCACCCAGAGGGACACCTTGATGGACACCACATATTGGGGCTTTTATTTATATAAATCTGCACCACCTGCCTATGTCACAATATAGTATATTTTTTCTTTTTGTCGACCGCCTCCGGACATGTACATATGTATCAACCTAAGTTACAATTGACAAGCGCAATTGAGGGCATGGGTAATCTCATCCATTACCCTCCCTAGATCCCCCAACCCTAATACCCTTTTTTTTATATCTAAGTTTTCAATGTTCATTTCAGGGCACCGGTCTTCTTAGCAGTATATGCGGCAATAAGGTCCATCAGCACCGGCGAAAGACAATCATACGTCTCGAGCCCAACCTGATGCAGCTTATCCCTAACCTCGGCTATGTTGGCCGGGTCGAAGCCCTGCTCGATGATGCTGGACACGAAAGCGGCGAACTGGGGCTCTTGCCAGCCCTTCTGGGGGCTGAGCTCAGCGTGGACGAAGTCGAGGCCCTTGAAGGCGTGATCGATCTCGATGCGGCCGTACAGGTGGGTGCCGCAGCTAGTGCAGGCGTGGCGCTGGATCGCGGCCTTGGGGTCCACGATGCTGAGCTTGGACTCGTTGGCCGTGACTGACAGGTTGTCCCGCGGCACGACGCCGACGATACTGAAGAGTGCGCCGGCGGGCTTCCAGCACTTGGAGCAGCCGCAGGCGTGGTTGTGGGCGATGTTGGAGCTTAGGGTTACGGCGACGGGGTCCGTGGCGCATTTGCAGTAGAGAGTGCCGCCGGAGAAGTTGGGGTCGCCTTTGGTGATGCCGTTGTCGAGGAGGGGGTGTAGGGAAACCATCTTTGCTTTGCTTTGCTTTGTTTTACTTTGCTTTACTTTAGTTGAGGCTGAGGTAACCAGGTAACGAACGGGTTGCTATCTATTTCGAAATTGATCTTATTTCACGATATTACGGTCAAATGGGACGAAGACTAGATGTCTTTATAGGAGTGGACATATGTACAGGAGACGAGGGAGAGGGGGAATACTCCAAGAGTCGTAATCTACGGCACTAAGAACCCATCTCCGAGATAGGCTGTGAAGTTCGGTTGGAGGAAGAGGAGAGAGCGCGGATCATAATGACATCTTACGTATACATCTCAGCTACGGGATGGCGTGCTTTGTGATATCGGGGGGGGTTCTGCTTGGAGATCCCCTTGATATAGCCGGTAGCATGAAGACGGCTCCCCAACACCATGTTTCACAAGGGCGGCAGATGAGATTGTCTGGTATAGAGGGGACTAGTATATCGGAGATGAGTCGGGATCGCGGAGAGAGGTGAGTTAGCATTGGCGTCCTGCGGTTGCGTTCACCTTTTACGCTTCCCGACCGGCAAATTTATAATTGGAGGCCGCGAGCTCTTGGCCAACTACAAGGGCCAATTTCACCATTGGCCAATCATAGAGGGAATGTGATGAGCTTGGTTGCCGCATTAGACAAGTCTATATTCCCGTACTAATTTAGTAACTAATATCCGAACACTTCCAATAACTAACATCTCTAATGATCAAGAGTTATTTTCATTTTCTACCAAAGCACGGTTTAAGAGCAGCTTGAATAATCTTGCCGTCTCGCTACAGCATCGACTAGGAGAATAAGTATTGTCATAGTTATATCAAACCTAAGCAGAAACGTCAATAAGCTTGGATAGCTTACATCTCGGCGAAGCTGTCGTGTGACACACCCGCGAACGTCAACCCGCATATAGCTCACGCTGAGGGGAATTTCAACAGTTGGCGGAAGGATTTATTTCTCTTCCCCGAGGAAATAATGGAATATCAGTAAAAGAGAGGGAGCTTACAGTTCTTGCATATCCCATCTGCGGTCATTTCGATCATTGCCTATTCCTCGACCTCCCCGCCAATAACACCAGTGATGCAGGGTTTCGTAGGGCTGCCGAAAAGACCGCCGATTCGAGATAGGGTCTTGAACATCAGAGTTACCTTGTCGGAGTAGTGACTCCATAATGCGTATGATCCCATGATATTCCGGTCGACGTCGTCAGCGACGTTAGTTATAGAAGGGTCGGGGCGTCACCTGCGGTGAGATGGGCGCAGATCTCGCGAATCCGCGCTTTGGTTGGATATGGTGAGTTTGTCATTGTGTCCCTTGCGTCAGATAAGATGGGTACCCGAATGTTTTGCAGAAGTGAGGCGGCGGCATGGTTATAGTTCTGGTAATAGGTACCTTCTTAAGTACGAGACGGCCCCCGGAGATAGTTAACCAAAGGCCGTATAGGTGAGAGCAGACGGTCCATCTTGCAATGATAATTCATCCGATGCGGGGCAGCTAATATGCCGAGAGGTATAGCTAAGGATATAGTCGTAGATGTAAACCCTCTTAAATCCGGGAGGGTTTTCGATGGGTAAGGAGATATTTGGTTATATAATGGAAATTAGCTGGCAGATCAAGACAAAAGGGTCATGAAGAGTTATAGTGGGAATCTAATAGTAGAAAATGACTACTTCGGTAGTCCTAATAATATTTAAAGGAATAACTAGCTGTTTAAGATGTCAGTTATATGTCTTCAACATAACTCTCTTGGAGTCATAGTAAGGTATAGCGGTATGCTTAATTACTATTATAGGCTTGGATCTTATGTTCAGTTATTCATCATATATTTAATTAATAATTGATATACAGTACTCATTAAAGTAAATAGGACCAAGGTTGCACTTTTCTTAATAATTAAACGCATATACACGGTAAGATTTATTATTTACGAATAATAGTATAGCATAAACAGTTATGTTTACTGCACGAAGTCTATTAATGAGGTTTATTAGGGATCATTTTCTTATGCAAATTATAAGTTATATTCATCTTACTGTTCTACAACGAACTTATGAGAAATATATAACCAGTTGATATAACTCATAGTGTCATGTCACTTATCTATGTGAGTTAGGAACGTTTAACCAGTGTATTTAAGAGGGGCTCTGGGATACTATATTCCATAGCCAACAAGTGTTAAGAGTACCGATATTAATATGCTTTAATTATAATAAAACTGTGCACCCTTACATGCTAAACGAGTAGGATAGAGTTGTTTATAGAGGTAATTGAACATCTTTAAAAAACCTATAACCAACTACCTACCTAATTATATAATTGAAAAAAGCAAATAAAGCCACCACATTCAAATCATCAATCCTCATTGAACATTCATATGGATTCATAACGTACTCGTACAACATACCAACCGACCAGCAGAGATACCCGGTACGCGTAAAGAGACAGCAAACAGTCCGTAGGAAAGAACCACGTGAAGGTGACAATCTAACCCCTATCCCCATCCACGTACACCCATTTCTCAGCCCTCGCTCTTCGAACCCCACCTCTGTCATAACCCAAGCTTATAGAAAAGGGGTCACTATCAACCAAAGCTCGAGCGCTTTTATCTAACCCACCTAATCCGCCCTATATCGCATCGTATTGTATCGTATCGTATCACACACCTACCACATTACATCACGCCCCATCCCCAACCCTCACCCCCCTAAACCGTTCCATCCACCTGATCTTCCACCTCTACCTCAAACCTCGGAATGCCCCTCCCGCTACAAAACCGCGTCAAGTCGTCATCCTGATACAACTCCATATTCAAATCATACTCCTCGTCGTGTAGATTCCGAATGCTCGCGCGCCGCAGCCGTACGCAGCCCATCCACTTGGGATTGTTCCTATTCGGCGGCGCTCCTTCTCTGTCGAACGCCCCCGCGTGCCGCGTCACGTACGTGACGGCCGTGTTCTTGAGCGCCTGCACGCTGGCCTTGCAGCTGGCGAGCACCCGCGCCTCGCCGTGGCCTAGCCACCGTATCGTCAGCGCGATGTCGTATAGGCGCGGCGCGAAGGAGGCGGCGGCGGCGGTGGTGGGGGGCTGGTGGCCTCTGTGTAAGCCGCGCAGGCCCTGGGGCAAACCCTGAGGCGTGAAGTTTGCTGGTGGGGGGATGGACGGGCCGCGCGCGGCGGGCGGCCAGGAGGGGACGGCAGGTTGGGGTTTGGGGGCTGTGTTGTATCCGGGAGGTGGCGGCGGCGGTGGCGGAGGGGGGCCGGGGAAGCGCGGGTAGTTGTTAGATAGGGGGCCGTTCATAAGCTCCATGACTAGCTCTTCTGCCTGGGATAGCGTGTAAGGAGGCCGGATGTTTGGGAATATGAAAGCTTCGGGGGACTGGCGACCTGGTGGGGGCGGGTTGGTGCGGGGCTTGCTAATGTTATTGCTTCTCTCGTCTCTGACCTCGCGGCCGTGGGTGATGGGGACCGTGGTGGTCGTGGACGTGGCAGGCGTCATTTTAACCTCGCCAGTCGAGCTTGTCTTGTAAGACGGGGCCGCGGTTGATAGTACAGGACGATCGGATAAGATATTAGAGAAGATAGAAGCTATATCGTCATCGTCATTTCCATCTTCCTCATCCTCGTCCTCATCTTCGTCGTCATCATCATCAAATCTAGTCTTCTTGAAGTCGGGTGGAAAGGAGAACCCATTGGTAGAGATGAATTGCTGAACGGCCTCGCACGACTTAGTGTGAAGAGATTCTACGGCAAGTAGAGGGGTAGCACGGGGTTCGGAGGAGAGAAGTGCGTCTCGTGAGCTCTGATTGGACCGAATTGCATATGCTTTATAGTCTCCTAGAACGTCCTTGACAGTGACTACGGAGACGACGTCATGTTTGGCTAAGAAGAACTCGCAGTTATCTATAGATATATGTTAGCAGATATTATGATGAGTTGGAGGGTGTTAATCTGCAAGCTACATGCCTACTATCTGGCCCCTATAATCGAAGACTATGGTCGAGGGCGCCATGTTGAATGTTGACTGACGGTAAGACGATGCTTGGAAGGTTTGGTCGGAGGAACGTATAAGCATTGATTAAGATTTGTGAACCGTAAGTTTTAAATCGAAAAGCTTGGATCGATTTATAGATGTGCCGTCTTATATACACATACGTGCGGCGAAAGACAAGTTCCGCGTGCAACTATCTATCTAGATAGCTCATGTATCAGAAACCCAGCTTCATGCGGCATCTACTAAAAAGAAGTGAGGCAAACTATGTGGCATTAGATCTATCGACGACTTGTCTTGGCCCCGAGGGAATGAGTCTCAGCCCAAGAAGGGTCCGTATGACATAGGTAACATAATATGAATGATACATCCCGATGCTCTTCTTGGAAGCCAATAAGATGCAAGCGAAATGTATGCCTCGCTGATACGTCAATGGCTGCAAAGGCTGACTAACGGTGGTAATAAAAGGGGGTACACCAAGGGAAATCTAGGTCTCGGTGATGGGCGAGTATTCCCGGCAGCATGTTGAGAAAGGTTGTACGGGGCACACCTGTTTTCTCTCTACCGGCAGTGAATGGGTACCGGCCCCCAGGTCATACGAATGAGATGCACGACTTAGATGCAAACACCCCGTGTTGATCAATTTAAGGAAAGACTCTAAGGGAAGACCCTGGGGGTTGGGCACGATTTTGCCACTGTAGGCTGTCCGTCTATCCTGTAAATGTACCCCAAAGACGATGATTATCGTCGCCCCGAGACACATTTGTGTGAAAGGCTGCAGAGACATGGCGCCTAGAAGCCCTTCGGGTCGGACGCGGAGTCGTAGTGGGCGGAATATGGAATAATACCGGTCTAACTTATTGAGACATTCATGGCCAATAAAAAACAGGGCGAACATTGGCCGGTTGGCGGGCAGTTCGGGAGTGTTGGGGAATTTTTAGCAACCTTTTACAAGGACTTTTATGAAATAGTTATATGTAAAGGTAACTATTGCAACGTATTCAGCTCGCGTGTAATGGAAACATCGGAAGACGAGAGAGAGATATTCTTCAAGGCGAAAGGGGTCATTAAGTTATATAACCTGCAATCAGGTAAGAGGTGCAACTTTAAACGTGAGAATTTAACTACCTCAGTCTCATAATTCTATCGCTTGTCGTTTTTTTGTCGATATGCCAGCGCTGTCGTCAAGTAGAACTTGAGGCTAGCTAGATCTCTTTCAATCTCAAATTCTTAACCACCGAATGGCTTATCTTGGGAAGCCTATCCGTCTAGACTTGGGTATTGCAAGGCTGCAGGCGGACTGATGTTTTTGATGTTTGCTATTGGACGCAGCGTGCCGAAAATATCCATCTCCTGTAACTCCTGTAGTGGAACGGTGGAGGCAAGAGAAAGAAACGATCAGCATTGGAACTCCTGCTTTTCTACCCTACCCTGACCCCAATTGGGCATCTGGGAATACTGCTTCGAGACGTCACAGTGAGTAACGGTAAGATTCGCCAAGGGACCGCCACGACAACGATAATGCTGATTATATCCTAGTTAGTGAAACCCGCCACAAGCCACAATCAACTTGCCCAATCGCCCTATTTCTTAGCTGGACTTATATTAGATAGAATAAAGGTAGTATTACATTTAATACAGTCCTTGATGGGGTACATCCTTCGACGGGATGCATCCCGACGCGCCACACCTGCTTGCCGCGCTTTTACCTATCCTACTGATAGTCGCTCAAGCCGTGATTTCACAGCATCTACTAAGGCTGTCTCACGCTCGATAAGTCCTTTTACTTGGTTGATCTTTGCCTTTCGGAGCTCCGATGGTATGCGTAAGTCAGTTGTTGACGCGCTCAAACCCTCTTCTCCTTCCTCAACCGACGCGCCTAGCTTCTCTGCTTCCTCTAAGAGCTCCTCTCTTAATCGCATCACCTCCTCATACCTCTTCTTAGTCATTTTTACTCGGTTTGGCCCGGTTGTCGTTGTAGACCCGAATAAATTGGCATCCAAGGCATTGACCTCGTTGACCCAGGCCTTCTCCTTATCGCTCAACTCCCGACTGGTCGCCTTATTGACTAGCTTTCGCATCTTTTCCAATCTTTGGCTGAGGGATTCACCCTTCTCCCTCGCGGTTTGTATCCGCCTTTCCATTGCATCATTGCTCGATTCTGGTTCGTCTTCATCTTGATCCTCCCCGGTGACAGCCTCAACCCTAGCCTTAACTTCATTAGCCTTAACAACCTGCTGCTTAAGTTCCGTCTGCAACTGAATGCATCGTCTGAATACCTCGGCAGCTGCTACGCCGAGTTTATAAGTTTCATCGCTAAGTATCTGATGCGCTTCCGTGAAAATTTGTAGGGTTGCTGGAGAGAGTCGAACTTCCTGGTTGACTATTGTTTTCTGACGACTAGTACGAAGTTGGTTTAGTAGTTTTGGTAGCGCCGAACCCATGTCGAAGGAGTGTGATGGCTGGAAAACAGGGCGAGGCTCGTAGAATTCCAGGGGTTGTACCTCTGCATCCTTGTCAAAGGAAGGTGAGGCGGATCGGATGGGAGCGAGGTCATCCTCTGGCGTATCAAATACCAAGGCAATTGGGTCGAATGGCGTTGCGGACAATAATAAGTAGCCAAGGTCGGGATCGCGAATAGCAACTGAAGCTGTTAGGGGAAACTGCGTATCGCCCTGGATTGTACTTGTATAGAGCCGCTCTCTAGTAGAGCTCTGCCCATTGACAAGTAGATCGATTCTAAACTCGGACCCGGCTTGCGAATCGCCTTGCAGTTCGCTTTCCAAGCGGAAAACCCATGGAGATAGAGAGACATGTGTAATGCTAGAAGGGTGGGTGATGTAGAAAGAATACCTTGAAGTAACGTCCGGACTAAACGTTGGCCAGGCATTCTCAGTAACTTCCAAAGAGTTCAAAATATCCATGCTCTGAAATGTTAGTAGAGACGGAGATCCGGCTAGGCGCCCCATAGCCTTCGATTTATTTCGAGGGGGGAGCCACTGAGCTTGGACACCATCCAAATCTAAGCATACTCGTAGCTGACCGCTGGATGAGAGTAAGCATATGACGGAGAGTGACAGGCCTTCCCCTTCGACGTCTTCCATATCTAGCTCATCTTCTTCTCCCATCATTAACTCATCAGTGTCAAGTTTTTGTCCAATGACAAAAATATCCGTCAGCTCTGTGTCTAAGTCGTCCTCACTCTCTGGGCTTAGCTCGAGGTCGAAGGGCCCTTGTAAGCGAGGAACCACGCCAGGTCGCGTAGGCCGAGTATAGATCTCCGTAGGCGGTTCTCCAGGGGGTCCTTCGATAATTCTAGGTTCTTGGTTGTCAAGGTCCGACATCCAGTCCAGCTGTTGCTGAGCGAGTAACTTCGCTTGTCCGGACATGTTCGGATCGTCCTCGACCGCTGCAAGATTCCCAACAATCGAGATAGAGAGCGACGGAATTAGCGTAGGCGGAGGAGCCCACTGTGTCGGTAGTAGGGGGCACAAGGCATATACATCTCCCTCTCGCATCGCAATCCAGAGAGTCATCGGTGACCAACCACCAGAGCCTCTACCAGCGAAACATGCTGCTGCTACGTCCATCTCGAAAGAATCCGGAGAGAATCCCTTATTCGTAACATCTGGCGAGGCGGCGAAATTCTGGTCTAGCGAAGTGCCGTCCGCAAGTTTCTGTAAATCAATAGTAAGGGAGGGAGAATCGAAAGACCATCGGTCTCTCTGGGAAAGTTCCCAGACTCTCACAGCGGCATCTTTTGTAACTGTCACCAACGCAGAGCCGTTAACACCTAATGGATGCCATATAGCCGAGGCAATTGGTGAACGGTTCATAACATGTGTTGTTGGGCCCAAGGTCCATGATTTTGGTTTTATGGCATCAAGGCCAGGCGCCGTAAGGTGGGACGAGTCGGGTAGGAGGATGATACGAATGGTATGGGTAGTAACAACTGCCATGAAGTTCGCATACGGCGAGATGATAAGCTGTTGGATGTCGCTACCAACAGAGGTTGTAATGGTCTAAAAAGATTAGCTGCTTGGTGGTGATATACATAATGCGACATCACTTACTCGGAAACCTTCAGCACACCCACTCTCTATGGATTCTCTAAGTCCATCATCATCGAAGTTATCCCCATCCTCATGTTTGATGCGGACACCACCTCGAGCCTTGGCTTGTTTCTCTTCCCATCGTTCTTTTAGGTAAAGCAGATCTGCCCATCTAATTTCTTTTCCAACAGCAATGAATACTTCGGTGCCACGACGGGCAATTGTTCGTCGCGGACCTTCTTTGGAGACGGTTTTGGAAATATATGCTGAAATATCATGGGTTTCGTTGGCATTGGGTACAAAGAGGTCATAGCCGGGCGAGGGAGCCGACAACCAGGCTGGGGTATAACTCTTGATCTTAGGCATTTTTTTTCAAAGTTGGGTTGTGTATACGTGATGTTAACGTTATGCTGTCATTAGCAGAATTGCATTTCTGCCCGAGATACAGGGCAAAATTGAATAGTATCCGTTAAATGAAGCAATTTTGGCGATTGGTAAAGAAAGAGCTCGATGTAAACTGTAAATTACATGTAGGATGAAGTTACCTACCTAACAATAGGTAGGCTATTTTTGTTTGTTCTGCCAAGCTGCTTGCGGTAAGCTAGGGTGGATGATATACATGGAGAAATCTAAGATTGAAGTACCCTTTAGAATGGTTGCTATGGAATTATACGGTGGCGGGAACTAGATTGTGCATGTTCCGGTATCTTTGGGTACGGCTGAATGTACTAACCTAGCAGCGTAGCGCAGCAACTACCTAAAAACCCAAGCGCGATCTGACACGGTAGGTATAGCCTGTAAACGCGCATGTTTCCGTAGATTCAGCAAATCAGAACTGTCATATCAATAAAAGCGGGTCTATAGCTTCAGCCTTCCTCAATCAACATTCCAGACGTTTAACTTTCAATTTCAGCCTTCTCTCAATTCATTAATTTATTTTATCCCTTCACGCATCACCGTACGGCAAGTTCAATATTATACCAGTATGACTTCCGTACTTCGATCAACAGTTGATAGGCTAGACCGTCCCAGCGCATATTATAATAGTCGGGTAAGCTCTTTTATTATGTATTGTTTGGCTTATATAGGTTGTTGTGAGCTAACACGTCGAATTGGAATAGAATAAAAAGAGACGAACTGACCATGGCCGAGATAATAAAGATGGAGAAGCCGAAGTGAATGTTCCGGTGGAAGAGTCTTTAGAAGATCCTCTTAGGAATGCCACGACTCTCTACGTCGGAAATCTGTAAGTTCACTACAATATAATCTTGTTTCCCCTGGGCAAACTACTGACAGTTATTCAAGTTCTTTCTACACGACCGAAGAACAAGTCTATGAACTCTTCTCGAAGTGCGGTGAGATCAAGCGTCTAGTCATGGGACTAGATCGATTCAACAAGACTCCCTGCGGCTTTTGTTTTGTAGAGTACTACACTCACCAGGATGCGCTCGACTGCATGAAATATATAGGTGGCACCAAGCTCGATGAACGCATCATCCGAACTGATCTGGATCCTGGTTTCGAGGAAGGCCGCCAGTACGGCCGAGGCAAGTCCGGCGGCCAAGTGCGGGACGAGTACAGAGATGACTACGACGAGGGAAGAGGTGGTTTAGGCAGAGCAATCCAAACAGACCGAGAGCGCGAGGGACAACGAAATAGAGAACGGGATCAACACATGGAAGATGACTACGGGCGCCTAAGATAAGCCATAGCCTGCTAGTTGGTTGGCTGATTTGTTGATACCCCGAACATTAATAGCTTATAAGAATACACATGGTCAACAGGTAGTTACCTGCTATTCGCACCACGACTGATTCCTATTGTGGTGATGTGACCAGTTCTGATTGTTTCATTCCATGCATATACAGAGAAGTATATCTGCTTCTCTTGTTTTAAGTACAGTAATGTACAACTCGTTGCGCTATGATCTGTGGTCTCAGACTATCGCATTAAGATATGCCTTTTTTTTTCTACGGATGCCTCTCGTTTGATAGCCCGATAACGTATATCCCGAAAAGTAATATATTGGAGCGTGGAATTGCCTCAATTGTTGGAATATAATAAATATGCTTAATATCCAGGCGGGTTCACTCTTTGCGATACTCTCGTCCACTTTGGAAGCTCTATTCACCGTAGTCAGCAACTTCCCCATACCTACACGCCTCTCCGAAGCAGGAATAAGCGTAGACGTACTGTGAATGCCCTTTCTATATCGCTTCTCTTTCCTGTCAAACATAGTGTATTTGTCTTTAGGCAGCATCTCGGCCTCGGTAGGCATCGTCTCTTTCCATGTCTGGAGGGCCTTCAGCGTTTCGCCCTTCTTCGCCAATGCAATGCTTATCGTATCCACCACCGAATCAACACCACGAAGTCGCTTTCGTTGCCGTGCTTTCTGGAATTTAGATAGGCGCCATGGGATCTTCCTATATAAATGGTAGGGTTAGTATACGCTCCTAACCTTTCTTAAGACCTGAGTTAGCTAAGAATTGCCTATTTCATCACATACCATAGCAGGCCACCGGATAGCGGACTCGTCACTCTGAATGCGCCGAACATTGTGTGTGATATTACTGCTCGACGATTCAGTGTTCTCTATCAGAACACATCCCAGTATCGGAGAAGGTAAATGGCGATTAGAAAAGTTCAATTGATAGCGCACGAGCCACATTAGATGATCGGTTTGAAGCCTCTACAATTACCGATTACATGTAGCTAAGTACTCATGTACCTCCCCACTACGCGATGCCGATAAGGCTGTTTGAACATCGATAGGCATTCTACGAAAGTATCCATGTACCTACTAACTATTGAAGCTATCCGTCACTCCTAAGCTTCACTCCCGACAAGCACCTCAGCGTCCCGTCGCAAATGCTCGACAGTTAACCGCCCAACATGTCATACTACTTCGCCATCGTCGGCACGCAAGACAACCCGCTCTTCGAATATGATTTCGGGACGTCGAAGCAGGGCGGCGACGGCATGCCGCATTTCAGCGAGCAGGCGCGCCACATGAACCAGTTCATTGTGCACAGCAGTCTAGATATCGTCGAGGAGGTCCAATGGGGAGGTGGCCAGATGTAAGTATGCACCGAAGCAGAGCGCAGACCCCCTACATTTGCAATGGGCAATATTGGACAAAACAGACATGGCTAGTACTGACTGCGGCGCTTACGATATCAAGGTACCTCAAGTGTGTCGATAAGTTCTTTAATAGCTACGTGTCTTGCTTTATAACCGGCGGCAATGTCAAGTTCCTCCTATTACATCAGCCGACTATGCCCGTCTCGACGACTTCTACGCGATCTTCTACGTCTATCGGCGCTAACCCCACGAGCCCCCAGACCGAGGAGGCTATTAAGAATTTTATGCTCGAGGTCTACGAGAATTGGGTGAAGGCTATCATGAGTCCTTTTTATAGAGTGAATATGGAAGTGCGCAGTCCGGTGTTTAGACAGAGGGTTGCTGCGGCCGGGAGGAAATATCTGTGACCAATGGGCACTATAAGCGTAAGACGGGTGTAATGGAATAATGTACGGTGTTTGGCGTTTAAATAGGCAGCAATTACTCATTAGATCTGAGTCATATTCTGAGCTCAAAAATGGTCAGGGCTAGTGTTCCATAATACAGCAATAAACACATCACAAGCACAAGTATTTGAAGCATTAAATTCGTTTACAGCAAAGTGTAATACGATGCAAGTATATTCAGCGTGCCGTAGCACTATCATAGGCTATCTGCCCTTAGACGCCGTCTCTCAAAAGTCATCGCGCGCGACCATGAACCGTAACGTAAAAACCACCAACGCCGATGTCAGAATGTGTATCATGCCAATAATCCTTAATGTAATAAACACAGATCCCCCGAGTCCATTACGCACGATTTGCTCTGCTGCCGCTGCTGCCCACTAACTTGCATTGGGAATGATTACTATGAACAAGCAGCCAACCAAAAAGGTACACAGAACATAACGCTTAACCACCGAAACCGTACAGGGTGCGGCCCTGTCGCTTCAAGGCGTAGACGACGTCCAGCGAGGTGACAGTCTTGCGCTTGGCGTGCTCGGTGTAGGTGACGGCATCACGGATGACACCCTCGAGGAAGGACTTGAGAACACCACGGGTCTCTTCGTAAATCACTGAATAATCTGTTAATATTTATTTCACCTTAGTTGAATAAGACAATAACTTACTAGCTGAGATACGCTTGACACCACCACGACGCGCGAGACGTCGGATAGCGGGCTTGGTGATACCCTGGATGTTGTCTCGAAGAATCTTACGGTGGCGCTTGGCACCTCCCTTTCCGAGACCCTTGCCGCCCTTGCCGCCTATTGCGATGTTAGTATAAACGTAAAAGGATTTTAAAACGATTAATTGAAATCATATCGCGTCAAGGTAGTTCCCAGTTAAGACGCGTCGTGATAGCGAAGCCATAGCCAGACCCGCCAACCATAAGCGCCCCTTAACCAGAACTTGGCGACGCGACAGCAAGATAAACTAATCGAAAAAGGTAGTGCACTTACGTCCAGTCATCTTGAATAAGGATTAGATGTGTTTTGGTGATGTTTTAGTGATGGAAAGTGTATGGTATCGATGGCAAATTGCGGAGAGATAAATGCGTTTGTTGATGATGGATAAATCAGGAAATAGGAAAAAAAAAGAGTTGTAAAAAGCGGGAGAGAGGAGGTAGGCTTTTATGTGGATGAGGGAGGGGTGTTACTGATTCGAATTGCGGGAAGTCGCTAGTCTGATTTAGGGAGTGCGGCATCAGCCTGGGGAACTCGAAAAATAAAAAATTGCGACTTGTTGCGCCTGATTATTTCTCTTATTTGGGGTCCTTGAAAATGGGTTATTCTGCGCTGCTTTGGCGCTTGGTTGTCAGTTGCCCTTTTAGGCCGAATTTCACTGATTTAATGGACCCCTGCTTTGGCCCGTGCGTTGTTCTTTTTTCGAACTACACTTAAGTGGGGCACAAGTGTTCAAGGTGTTTGCAACATTTTATATACAATATTCACGTGATTGATTCACTCCATACTAAACCTTCAATACCTCAACAGCTCAGTCACAACATTACACAAATCAAAGGGGATCCGACATTCTTCAAAAAGTATACCTAATCTTTACTTTAAGTACCTAAGTACCTAAGTAAGTAGGCACTCATATTTTAATAACATACCAGGCATACCAGACCTACACTGACCTCCAAGACTTATTACCATGTGACTGCTCCGCGATATATCCCTACGAGAAGGGAGCTCGTTTTGAAAATCATACATCATATACCCTACGTGAATAGGCACTTGGCAAATCTAAATTGTTCCATTCGTGGCCCTTTGCATCATGGAAGAGGCAGGACGAGCAGTTAGTGGACCTAACCGCTCACCCCGTACGTATTACTATACACCTTTTTATCGTCATGCAAGCCTTTGCTACCTATACACAAGACCACCGTAGTTTCCTGGCAATGGTGGACGTAAAGTGCCACTAGAATTCCCCAAACGCCGATGCATATGCCTCGCCAGACCTCGTAATGTCAAATATCCATAAGGCCGACATCTATAACGTCGTACCGCACCCGATGTCGAGTGCTCCCAAAGACGTTTGACGCATTGCCCTGGGATATACTCGAATCTAGCCGAACCTCCCTATGCCGCTGTAATCATGGCAATAAAAGAAATCCCGCTTAATAAACACAAATGCTTCTACCGTGCCCTATTGTCATGCCATCATAGAATCGTCAAAGCTGTCGTCATCTTCAAGGCTCTCGATAGCTTCTTTGATTTGTTGGCTTGCCTAATAGCTTTTAGTAAGAGAATATGATTTACGCAATTGATGGATTAAACAAACCTTGGGATCTAAATTCAGTGCAATGGTGAAATGCCGTACGGCGGCGCCCTTGTCGTTTAAGGTCTTATATAACTTCCCGAGGAGGAAATGCACAGTGGCCTCGTCAGGAGCAAGAGTCTTCAGAATATCAAGTTCCTTGTGGGCTTCATCAAGCTGATTAAGAGCTAACAGAGCTCTAGCTTTCTTGTATCGAGTTTGTGCAGCGTGCGGAGCAAGTTCAGTGGCCTTAGTGAAAAATTGGAGAGCCTTGACAATCTGTCGCTGTTTTTCGAGGACATTGCCGATACAGCATATTAAGACGGCATTGGTAGGATTTATAACGGATGCTGAGTGGAAATGTATATAGGCCTTGTCGTAGTTGCCCAGTTTTTCATAGACCCTACCGATACCATAATACGCGTTATAATGCCGACGGTCGGCCGATATTGCTTGACGATACGCCGTGAGGGCCTTCTCATACTCCTCGTTTGAAACGTGCTCATGTCCCTGTAGAGTAAATGCATAAGCAAACTTGGGGTTTAGTTGGGTGGCGCGCTTGAAACATCTCAATGCTTGCTCGTGGTCTCGGGCGAGTGACCAAGCGTTTCCAAGCGCACACCAAGCCTGAGGGGAATGCCACGACAAATCGACAAGTTCATGGGCAAGAAAAGATAGATCCGTCTCTCTTTTAAGGAACCATAAAATGGTAGAGTAGACTTCCATGTCTTCAAGGCGAGTAGGAGCCAGTATTCGTAATCTCCTATAAAACTTCTCTGCCTCCGCGTATGCAGCCTGTTCGTAGTATGCTTTCCCAATTTGTGAAAGCACCCACGGTGTTTCTTGGTGCGTCCTCGGTAGTGCCGTGTAAAAAGCTAAAGCTTCAGCGCACCGATACCGCGATAGTGCTAGATAGCCGGAGCCGAATTTCTTCAATAACTCCAGTAGAAATTTTAACGTCTCCTCAACCCTAACAGATTCCGGTTCCGAGGATTTGGTAACGGGAGGCGGATAATGGACTTCTTTTATCCGTGGTACCTCAGCCTGGTCTACATCCATACCATTTTCTTCCAACGGTTTCCTGTTACCGCTAATAGCTCTGCCGACGTTGGAACCGCTCGAATTCGGACGTACGATCCTTGAGATAGGGGGCCTAGCCTTCTTCAATTCTCGTGTCGGGGCAACAGTTGACGCAGCGTTAGCCTTCGCATTGGCACCCCCAAACGGGTTTAATCTTGCGCTCCGTCTTTGAGGGGCGCCTGGTTCATCCGGCCGTTGCCTTGGCTGAACAAGGTGACCAGAAACAGTCCTCTTTCTCTCTATCCCAGACGCACCAGAGGCAGTCGGCCTAAGAAGAGTATGATTGTGCTCTGGAGGGAAGTCTTCTTGAGACCTATCCTGTAGTTTTTGAGTTCTCTTGGCACCCATTCGATATCCTATCTTCGAGGGTACATCCATCTGGTTGGGCTCAATAGGCTGGGCATTCCTCGTTTTTCTAGCAGGAGCTTGAGGGGGTTCTGGTGGGTGATTAATTCGAGGAATATTCGAGTCCGTATGGTTTGTTGTCGGCGTTTCCACACTTTCAAACCCTGTTTCGACAGTAGCAGCCATCCTAGAGCGAGCCGCGTTGATTTTAGACACGAAATCATTCTCGCCGGAGAGAAAGTTAGTGCCGGGGAGTATCTCGTTTCCGGCTGTTGACCTTTGTGAATCGAAAGGATCCCCTATAGTGTCGTAAACCGCTGAACGGGACACAGCCTTCTTAGGCTGGGTTTCCACTAGATTAGGTGCGGTGCTATCCTTTTGCTCCGAGAGAATCCCATTTAGTTGAGCCGTGCTCGAGCTATCTATTAACATGTCGTTCAGCTTGAAAATATTAGCTGTCCTGACATCGGCACCCATATCGCACAGAGCCGTGAATGCATCCCACATAAACGGATTTAGCTTGAGCGCCTCTTCAAAGTTGATTATTGCCTTATTTTTATCATCGTAGGCCCTGTAGAGCCTACCAAGCAAGCATGCAATACTTGCAGAGTCTGGATATTGCGCCCTATTCGTTGCGCTGTGCTTGCCCAGACTTGATTTCCGAGGCCATGAACTCCTAGACTTCTCCAATGCTGTGATCCCATCTTTATATCGTTCAAGTGCGAGACAACACTGTGCAAATATATATGAACAAGAGACATTGCTTCCACGGTATCCGACGGCTTTGCTGATTTCATAAGCTGAGTGATAGTCACCAAGTCGAAAATGGCAGAGTGCAAGGAGATACGGCGATTCGCTCGAGCGAGGATCGTGGGCAGCCAATCTTTCCGCAAAGAATAGTGCACTTTCATAGGACATGTTGTCGAGATGGTAGTAAACAATCTGCCTCAACTGGCTCGTAACGGCCGAGGTTGTGGGTGCCATCTTGGGATAAAGATGGTGCGATCGATAGTATCCGAATAGCTAACTTTATTCGTGAATTGCCATGTGGTCGCGTGGAGAAGGTGGTGCAGCTCTGTTGTCGAGTGTGAACAAATATCGGAGATCAAAGCAAGGGGGTTAGAGACTAGACTAAGGAAGACTCGACCAGAGAAAAACTAGGTTGTGTACTTCCAAAGACAAATAGCCTCGACAATGATTAATGTTAATAATGAATTAAATTCGAAATACCAGAAGCGTAGGAATCGTTACTAAGGAATCGAAACTACCGGTCGGATGTGAAGAAATGGAAGTATGTGTCGACTTGATCCTGGTTATTCTTAACAGGCATCTCTAACCACTGTGGATTTGGGACTGGGAAGTGTGAAGATAGACTTCGTTAAAATTTCCCATCAACACGCCGTCACGAGAACGGGATACGGCGAATGTTAGAAGGTGGCGAGACGACGATATTGTCCGGCAGGCTACCCAGCTCTTAGCCCAACAATATACCCCGGCAATACCATTCAATGGTATTAAAATTTTTATTCCGTAGTATGGTAGTGGGATGAAGAAAACGATCAGGTAGCGTTTTCCGCCTTGTCGCAGTCCAAGCTTTCACTCGCGATTTGGGATGTTATGGTGGATAGAACCGTTGTTAGGGGGTCAATAGATTTGATTGGTTAGATTGCCTTATACGCAACCGGACAGTACCTGCCAGAGCAACCATAGGGCGCTAAAATAAAAGGCGGAAACAGCTGCAGGCTACAGCTCCAGCCCCCCCACCTGCCGCTCTTTGACTGCCCAGGTGCTGGAGCCGCCATTCCATTTCCAGCCTTGTCGATAAAGCCACATCATTTTTCCCAACTTACCATTTCATCACTAAGACGGGAGCATGAGAGTCTTAAGTCCTAAACATCAAACACATAACTCACCCACCCAATTCACAATACATACATCCTTCGACTGTACTGAACACGGTATAATAGACATATCCTAATGTATACGCCATAAGCAAATCTTCATAGGCACGATATCGCAATGGCACAGAAAGCACGCAAGGACACAGCAAAGGCCAATGCAGCGGCTCTAACAAACCTTCACACCGGCACACTCATTATCAATACGCTTTTTGTCTTATTCAACTTCATATTCAAAAAGCGGTCTATACTACTATATGTCATCCTTTCAATTCCTAGCTTCATATGCGAGTACTTCTTAGAGTCATCGGGGCGGCCTAGATACGATCCCACGACAAAGGCGCTTCAGAGGGCTGGCGAGGACTTGTCTTCTCCTGGACTTACAGAGTATATGTTTGACGTTATCTGGGTAACATGGGCATCCGTCGTGCTCGTAATCTTTTTTGGTAACTGGGGATGGCTCCTTTGGTCTGTCGTGCCAGCTTACGGGGCCTTCAAAGGCTACAGTCTCCTTGGTGCAGCTCGCGGAATGGCCGGCATGCAAGGACAGCAGCCGGGGAATGCCGCACCAGTAGCAGGCAATAGGAAACAAAGACGTGCAGCTTAAACTAGGATTACACATCTGTCACTTAGCATTGCATCATTAGGAATCCTTTCATATTTTCAAGTTACATGCCTGAATTTATGTGACTAGTCACCTAGTTCAGCAACCTATGGCAATCGAGTTCCTCGGTCCACTTATCCAAGGTGTCTTTGTCAACATCTCTGACGATGATATGAATGTCTGCAGCATCTAAGTCAGCGATACTCAATATATGATTTTGACTGTCATTTCCGATTTATAGGTGGTAATCCAAATGAAGTCTTATAATTGAAATTGTACATACGTTCTAGTGCCCTCACGCTTTGTAGCGCAACCCAGTTCTTGAACCACAAGACTTTATCATCTCCTCCTGGACCTAGCTTATCTACGAAGAACCTTTTCACGAAGTTCTTCACGGTGTTGCGGCTTTCAGTAGTCATATCTCCAGTCTCGGTGTCCGTCGGAATTGTCGTTCTTGACCAAACGACTATATGAGTCATATTTGGCATCATACCATAAGGCCAGTCGTTAATCAAGACTCTATAGTCGGATGGGTCTTCAAATGGAGTAATGGATGCTGGTTTGAAGGGAGGAGACCCCCAGACTTTTGGTAGTCGGTGCTTCATGAGATAATTCGTCATGGATCCATATTCTATCTTAATCTCGGCAGTCCATTTCATGTATCGTCGCAAATCGGATGGTTTTCGCTTAAGAACAGAGAGGTTATTCTCCTCTAGCCACCAGCTTAAGCTAACTACCAAGGAGGTAGATAATTGGTTATATCCTACCTATAATTTTCTTCACATCTTCCCAATCATGATACTGGTACTCCTCGTCGGTCAGAGATAAGATCCATTTATCAACGTCTGTTAAAGGGAACGGCGCATCTTCAGGAGCAACTTTAGTCGGAATGTCACTCATATTAGGCCTCGATCTTCAGGTAACCTAACAACGAGTTGTAAATTAGATTTTAATTTCACTTAACTAGTAAAAGTGAGAGTTTAAAGAAAGTCGTAGTAGCTGAAAAGCAGCAAGAGAAAAAATTTGACAATTGTCTTATTGCCTAGGTAAGTAATGGGTATCCCTTGTAATTGAAGCTTGAGAATACCTAAGCAATATCACATCTCCCACATGTTCCTATACAAAGTTTCGCAGCCACAGATCTCAGGTATTCACTATGTAGAACTGCCACACTGCCAAGGGTCGCACCGTATACTGTACTACCGATGTTCATGCAGCTGTATATAACCGTTACGTGCATTATGTGGGGGGGCATATTTCTATAGGAGTTCGTGTGACTGACGGGCGCTTGCATAATTGACAGAAAACCCTAGTACCGAGCGGCCGGTCCAGTCCGCTTGTAACGCCGGGGCTATGACTATGCAGCAAACTCAACAAATGTTGGATGTGGTGCCACTTATTTAAGCGTTTGCCCCGAATTTAGGAGATAAAAAGAGCAGATCGATGTGTGTCAACTCCGACGAACACAACGATATAAGCTGCAGCTCAGCAGAATTTACCTTCGTTCCCCCCCTCTCTTACGAGAGTAGGCTTATTCCAGTTGCTAGCAGGCAAGGAATCATTTAATTTGCGCAGCTCCGCTACAATTCATACCCTAAATTCAAAAAGCGGCAACTGAATTTCACGATGGCGGCACTTCCGTTATCTTCCAGGGCATATTTCGACGGGATATATATCCCCGCTGGTCTATTGGTGTTTGGAACATTTATTGTTAAGAAGGAATGGACGCCCGCTGCAGCTCTCGTTGCAATTGTTTTGGGGTTGATCAAGTACTACCGCTCGCGTAAGTGTATTGTGCAATACCTTCCTATCGGCATTGAGCTAACCATACCGTAAATAGTACCTAAGGTGGTTTTGAAACCAGATGTTTTCCAAGAATTCGAATTGAAGGAGAAGACAATCATCTCTCACAATGTCGCCATGTTCGTCGCATTTTCCATAGCAGCTCATATTCTCTCCATTGACTTTTTATAGCTACCGGTTCTCCCTGCCCGCTCCGACATCCATCCTCGGTCTCCCAATCGGCCAGCACATTTCAATTGGTGCCGTCCTCCCGCAACCCGATGGTGCTACTAAGGAGATTGTGCGATCATACACTCCTATCTCTGGTGACCACCAACCTGGCTACTTCGACCTCCTTATCAAGTCGTACCCGACCGGTAATATCTCGAGGCACATGGCATCGCTTGCCGTCGGCCAGACGATTCGTGTAAGGGGACCCAAGGGTGCTTTCGTCTATACCCCTAACATGGTCCGTCATTTCGGAATGGTTGCTGGCGGTACTGGTATCACTCCCATGCTCCAAGTTGTCAGGGCCATTATCCGAGGACGACCCACAGGCGATCGAACTCAGGTGGACTTGATCTTCGCCAATGTTACTGAGCAAGATATCCTATTAAAGGAAGACCTCGATGCCCTAGCGAAGGAGGATTCCGGTTTCAGAGTCCACTACGTCCTCGACAAGCCTCCTGAGGGATGGACCGGCGGCGTTGGTTTCGTCACTGCTGACATGGTCACTGTAAGCTTCCTTCATACTGAATAAACTCTAAACCAAAAGCTAATAAGTAATTAGAAATGGCTACCCAAGGCTGCTCCGGACGTCAAGATACTGCTCTGCGGCCCACCGCCCATGATTGGCGGCCTAAAGAAGGCAACGGAGAGCCTCGGCTTCCAGAAGGCCCGCCCCGTCAGCAAGCTAGAAGACCAGGTATTTGCCTTCTAGAGTGCTCGGACATAGCCCATATCTTCCACTACCGATATGTCATTTGACAATCTGTAAGGCCGATCTAGCTTCCAACTACATGAGAAGCTCTCGTGCTATAAAGAGAATGAGCACCTTCGTGTCGTTTAGTTCATGGTGTTTATTTAGATAGATGAACGTATGACAAATGATCAACTTACAAAGTAATGAGATCCTATAGTATAGGTAGCTTGTATGCAGGTTGCAAGATGCCGCTCTGGCATTCATTGTATCATTTACTGCCCTGGATTCTTACCATAGGTTACTTTGCGAATAAACATATTGCTACCTACTTTTTTACTTGGCATAGGTATTAGAGTGATTTGGTGAATAATGACGGCAGCATAACAACAACTTAAATAATTCTCGCAGATACCACGACTCTTCAAAGTGAGTGCCCTATCAGTAATCCTGATGGGTTAGGTGTGGTATGGCTTTTACCACAAGGCGTTGAGATTTAACTTACCCATGATTATATGTAGCCCAATGGTGTCCTGAAAGATGACATGTGTTTTATATGAGTATCAAGAACGTACACAAAAAGTGTAAACAATAAATTCAATCTGGGCAATTATAACTCTTGTTGATTATTATACCTTCATATCTCAATGAAGATTGATTTATGGGGGTTAGAAAGTTTGTACCATGTCACCGTTATGGCTATTAGATCCGTTTATGATATAACTTGGGGCCAATATTTATTCGTCCTATCTTTAGAACATTTGAATGTACATCAAAGATCATGCGTATTCATTTGAAGGAGACGGAGACGTATCCGCAGAGTGGCCCTTCTAAGGACTCTCGGGTTATCAGTTTACACGTGAAGTGTGCCCATCCGAAGATTCGGATCCCAACCCGGTAAGGCACGGGGTTGCAATTCGGTGAGAGGACCCTTCGCACATAGTCTCTCCACTAGCTATCCCGTATAAGCATCCGGAATGTTTGATCGCGTGTTCCTCAAAATCAACGGGTTATTAATCGAACTACTAAGGACTTATGACGTGTAAGAACGTGGCGATGATGGAGTTGGCGGTGAGGTTAAGAGGTCTGAGACTAGTCTGGAATAAGTAACTTATGAGTAGTGAATGAATGAGTTGGAGGTTAAGTGGTGAAGGTATCAAATCACTTGAGGACATATATTATGAGTAGTATGTTGTTTAAATCATCTCCAACTCGGTATGCATCATGGAGAGTCTTGGTACGATTGATACGTTGGCAGGTCAACTCTGCCTAAACCTGGATGATTATTATGCAGGAGTATAGAATATCGTGGCTTGCATTTTATCCTTTCATTGGCCATTTAGTGTTTGTTTCTCATTGGACATGTTTTACATATCCCGGGGAGACGCTACTTTATAGTCGAATTACGGCGTCGCCAACAATTATAATATAGGTAATTCATGCTCATAATAGACATGCTTAAATCCTTCGCGCTATCCGGTTGGATAAGGATATAGACACGACTAAATATAATATCATATATATCTTATAAAATGGGACTAAGTTTCGAGACGATGGATCTAGACTATGTCGAAATATACCAAATATACCAAAAATACTTGTTGATGTATGTATTTATAATGGAGAAATAAATTCGTATCGAGAAAGTCTGGAGAACATCTTATCAACAAGGTCGATCTTAAGATCGGTCGAATGCTGAAGTCATTGCTATTAGTTGATTGGTGCCTATCTGTACTCTGTACCTAATCCGGGAACCGGAAGCTGCATGTGACGACTAGGGGTTTTGATAATTCGATAAGTGGGATGCACGTGTACCTAAACAGTACCTTAATGAGGGAAGCCGGTCCAGGGCTTGCAACGCTGCACAACTATACCTTGACTCATTTTACTTGTTTTATTTATTTATTAATGTTTAGGTTGGCTATCTTGAAGATCTTAAGAATCTTGAGAGTCCGTCATTGATATATGTGATATACAACATTATACATTAATCCTGAGTCGATACCGTTAAAGTATGTATATACCTGTACCTTTATAAGTATAACTATGATGTATATTTCTCGGCAAACATAAAATGATGTTATCATAATGTTATCTTGATTGTTCTGACTGTACCTTTGTATTACCTTAGGTACCTAATTGCCCGCAGGTATGCACAGAATCTTCCAGGCCTGGAATTCCGATAAACCAAATTGGTAGTCTCGCCAGTTCAACAAGGACAATTGACCAGGCCTTTCCAAGTTACCGGAGACCAATCCTACCAATTCTCCCATGGCTCTTGGCTCCCACACCTACCATTTCTCCACACCATTATCTACACTTCGGTAACTTCTTCCTGGCAAATCATTTTACTACCGTCACATCTCAAGAGTGCGGCTCCAAGCCACTACAGAACGAGGCTTATCTACATTAAAAAAAACTCCAACAAAAAAAAAGGCAGCAATAACAACAACTAACCGACAGTCTTTGTGTTAATCGAGGGGCTTCCCAGATTTGAGACTTGTGTATATACCTATTAGCAACTCAATATTTGCAATTGCACAACTGGTAATACTCCCGTGGATAGTTCAATTCGTTTTTTGCTACAGAAAATCGCGGAACGAAGAATATCTCCGCACCAACGGAAAAGACGGAAAAAAAACCGAAGCACGTCGCATCAAGTCTACGATCCTCCCGCATTCAAAAAGTTATTCTGTCGTGCTGTATGTTGATCGGCACCGACAATGCTTATTCTTTGTACTTTGACTGTTTTCGATTAATCATTTTGTGGTGTGCGGCGCAGTCGGCATAATGGATGACACCACGAACCTCGTATCGGATCTTCTCCAAAAGCTCGCCGAGCTTGATAACAAGGTCAATGAATATCGCCAAGACATGGCACAAGAATTCTGTCGGTATTCACATCAGCGGCTACAAGACATGCCGGGACATGTATCTGCTAGAGTTGAAAAGTTGGTTGCTGAACAATTCCAAAACTATCCGGCCTTGAGTCCGGCTCTCAATCACGATATTAGTTCGCAGTCGCAGTCGCAGTCGCAGTCGCAATTCGACACTAATGCTACTGGTTTGGATGAAAACTTATGGTCACCTAAACTGTTGTCACCGCCGCCAGCTTCCCCTCAGAGCCCAGGGACTCCCATAGAAGACGGTGCACGGAGCCCGCACGAGAGAGAGCGCGAGTTCCATGGTCTGTTTACACCGAGCTTTCTTCCCTTGCTTGATGCTGTACAGCGACATCCGACACCACCCGTCTTACCGTCACAAGTACCTGAGATTAGAAAATCTAACAATAACCAAAAAACCCTTCTTACACCGTTAAGCAATGACATTTTATTACGACCGGATCCTGTTCGACGCCATACTTCGGATACTGTCTCCTCAGCCACTTCTGACGATAGTGCGACGCGACCAAGAAGCGCCCTCCGCCGCTCATCTAGTTCTTCCGTCAAGATCCAAAGTCCTAGACGAGTACGATTCGACGTAGAAGGTGAAGAAGTTCTTCCAACTTCATCGCCTCCAATCTCACCCCGAACGACAGACTTTCCATCATCCCCGTTAGGCAACCCCACTAGTCTACTAGATGACTCATACAACGCGATCGTCATTAACGAAGAAACCGATCTGTTAGGCAGCTCTCCGCCAATGCCAAAGAAGATTACCTCAACTGATCGCCTCAAGGCCCTAGCGAGGAGCTCCACCGAGGATACCTCAAAATGGGAGGTTGTTGGTAGCCTAGAGGCCATTGACGATGACGAGGATGACGAATTAGTCATGACCGGTTTAAATGGGGGAAAAGCGAATGGCGCACATCAGATTACAGCCAATCGTCTAAGCTCTGATACTACATCAGATCGTATAAATGATGCGCGTCTTCCAACCCAACTTGGCGCACCTCTACCAGTTGTGGAAGAAATTGGTGAAGACGAAGCTGCTGACGAGACTGATGATATGGATGATGTTCTCATGATGCCTCCGTTGAGCTCCTTTAAAAATAAGAAACACTTTTCGCAGCCGCTTGAAACAATTCCCGAACCAAAACCAAGCATCCCCGATTCGCAACAGCCAAATAAACAACGTAGTAGCAAGCCAACAGTATCGTCTAATCCGGTCGAGGAGCCTGTGCTTGAGGAAGAAGACATGTTCGAATTTGACAATAGCCATGAGGTCAAGCCAGTTACGAAATACATTGATGAAAATGAAGATGAGGATGATGAAGACGATGCCGACGTGACTCCTATAGCTGAGAAACCGGTCTTGTATTCTACATCGCCCGCGATTCCCGTCACGAAACCTGCGGCGCCGGCACCTGCTTCTCCGTCTCCTCGTCACGTAGCTGCATCGGCGGGATCATATCGCGGAAAGCCGTTCTCGATTGGCGTTGTTCGTGATCCGGAGCTACATAAAAAGGCCGCTGAGATGGGCGACTTTTATACCTTTGTCGGCAGTGTTGATGGGCGAAGCGGGGTTGACGAATCAAGCAGTTACAGGCCTGAACTGACTTACTTCAACGGAACACCGAGAAGTCTCAGCGAGCGCTTGATGAAGGAGGACTGGGACGAAGAGCGTCGAAATGCAAATACGAACGATACCAGCTAAGCTTGTGCTTGGGTTTACCTTGAAGCACAGTATCTTTTTCGAATATACATGGAGGAATCCGCAAACGAAACTAGGGCTACCACACTGTTGGTATTATAGCCACTGTTGTTATAATTTCTAGTTGCATTGTTGTTCTGTTCTATATGCTCATCTGTTCGGCATTCGGGCCTAAATGGGGCGAATCTGCATGCATATTGGCGTTTTTAAGGGTGGCCTCATTCTACTTCGATCTCATTCACAACATGATGAGAACAAACACAAAACATCACAATACGTACATATCAGAGTTGTAGGCGATTTGCCTTCTTCCGCTATATAGGGGTGGGGTGTATGAGACGAGTTAGCTGCGAGGTCGGGTTGCATCGGGGCCGGACATATGGCAAGGTTCTATTTCTCGCTCTACGGCCGGATATATGGACATGTTAGGTCACAGGAGTTGTTGGTTTTGAGAAGCTTCCTTGCGGTTTTGCCTAGGGTTGATAGGGGTGATGATGGTCGGTTGTAACCACCCATATTTACAAGCTTGAGACTGGAAATCCTTGCTACGAAATAGCCCGAGGTGTGGAAAGGCTGGAGTACTTTAGTCGCAGGGTTATGAGTACTCCATAAACGAAGAGGTCAAACTCCTGTAAATATCAATAGTTGACTATAATAATGACAATATCATTAGGTAGTTATCAATGATATTACTCATAAGCAACGTCGGTGTCATAAATGGTGAGGCTGAGCTATTCCATATTCCTATATTACGTGGATGACACATGTAATTTGGGATGTAGTAAGAGAGAGCGTGTAGGCAGCGTGCCAAGTGTATGCAAGTATTTCGGTAGATATCGTAGGGGAGGGAATTCTGCAACAGTGCAACGTTAGATGCGGAGCACGTTTATATACATCCATTTACATCGAATAATAGGTAGACTTTACCAATAGTTTACCAATATACCTCGTACTTACATACAATATCTCTATGAGGTACCTAGTTAATGTATGTTATGTATTAGTTTGCCTTAGTCTTGGCATTGCATTTTAATCCCCACCGAACGTAGATATGTTAAGGCTTGTACCTATCGAATCTATCGATTTTAGATTCGATTTAGAAAGCTAAAACAGTAGGGCGATCTTTAAACAACCCACACATCCTTAAATATAGCCGATCGAGGCGCCGGTTCCTGCTTTCTAGAAGCAATCAGATATCATGTCACACACACAGCCTACCTAAAGATACCTATCTTAGGTAGGTAGGTAAGTAGGTAGACAGACCACAAGCAATTACAAACCAATACAAGAATTATCTTTTAACCCCATTTTAACCAATGATGATAAAGAAAAAAGAGGGAAATTTGGACGAGGCGTTTCGCACCGAATTTGTTCACCGCGGGCGGTGCCGCTAAACCCCATTTCGCTACCGAGGGGCGCTCATCTTAACATTTTGGGACAACCATCATCCTTCAGGTTCATCTTCAGCCCGTTATCCCGTTGTCCCGTACCTGTCCGTTGCCCGTCTCCCGTTGCAAGGCGTCCCTTTCGCACCACTCCCCCTAGTTCATTGCTTGTCGATAGAAGTCTTTTGGTTCCCTGACAGCTCCAGTGAGCCCGGAATATCCCTCTCTATATGCTCTATGTGCTACTACTTTCCTTTCGCTCGAGTTGTGATTGATTGATTCCTATCGTTCTATCTAAGCCCCGAGTTTTAGCTCGTTCATCATTACATTACAACTCATACAACTCATACAACCCATACAACCAGCCAGCTTAGCTAGCCAAAGTCATTCTCATCCGCCATGCGGTACGGTAGAGTCATGTAAAAGACCAACCCTTACGATATTCCGTTCTTCCTTAGCGTTTGCTATATCGTCTCGCCCTCCCTCTTATCCTTCCCTCACGTCGCGGTTTTGTTTGGTTGATCTGCACAAGCGTATGCGATCATGGGTGATAGTCGGCCGTTCGTTACAATAAGTGAATGGCAGCCTACGGGGGATGGGAATAGTTTCAGCAGTGGAGATTCTGCCGTACGTCGAGATAGAAAGACAGCCAGGCCTCAAGCTCGATCTCGTCTAATTGCATCTTCTCAGTATGGTTCTAGCATTGAAGATGAAAAGACGCCAGCAGCCACGCACGACATCAGTCGGGTGAGCTACCACGTCAAGCATCTACCCGAATTCGCCAAGACACTCGAGGATGTGCGTTCTAACCTCTCCTTCTATCCACTTCTCATATCCGTCATTGTAGTACTAACAGCCCTATTTCGATAGTCGGCTACGCGGGCTTTCCCCAACCGGGGAGGCTCACAAAGGTACAAGAAAGTGCATGTGCTTCTTCTTCACTGGACGTGTGACGACTTGTTCGTCCTGAAGGAGCTCGATGACCTGGAGGCATGCCTTCGGGAGGAATATAATTTCCAAACCGAAACCTTCCCGATACCGTCCGACAACGCACACCTCGAGCTGATGTTGAAAGTTGGCGCCATGATAAAGGAACACGAATCAAGTGATACGCTGTTCATCGTCTATTATGGTGGCCACGCAAGGATCGACGACTCAAGACAAAGTACATGGTGCGGGTGCGTTTCCAGGCTGCTGCTCTCATATCCCCTACTTGATATGCTAATTGTTAAATTAGAACTCGAAGTTCAGACTCTCCGTGGCTACAGTAAGCCTATAATCATGCTAAGCCCTATATGGATCGCATGTGTGTGGTAACTCTAACCTATATGTAGATGGTCCGCTATTCAGACATTGTTAGAACGATCTCTATCGGATGTTCTCATCCTATTAGATTGCTGTGCAGGGGCTGCAAGTGCTACTTTTCCTAATGGCAATAGCATCACGGAAACGATATCGGCATCTAGTTGGGACGCTATTGCTCCCGATCCTGGGAGGTACTCATTCACCAACACCCTGATTGAAGTGCTTCAAGACTGGAAACGAAGGACGTTTTCCGCCGCGATGCTCCACGCCGAGGTTCTCGCACGCCTCAAGCATCCAAGACCCGAAATGTTGAATGGCAAGCACTTCGAGGCACGCGCTACACCTGTGCATTTTATGATGACCGCCAATCATAAAGCACCAAGTATCGAGGTAACCCGGATCCTGTCGCCAGATGCAAGACCACCTTCGCCTCCTCAGGAACCGGGGTTCGAACCAACTTCTCCTAATGGTCGATCAGCCGGCCCGCAAGATATCATCGGATCGGAGCCTAACGAAGACGTACCGCATGTAATGATTTCTCTAGCCCTTGAAGAGGATCAACGTCTCAACATTAATGACTGGGAACACTGGCTTTCAAATATACCAGCACTAGCTAAGTATGTTAAGGTCCAAGGGGTATTCAAGAGCCATTCGACGTTACTCCTATTGTCGATGCCGGTCATGATTTGGGATCTGCTCCCCGATAATCATGCCTGCAACTTCGTGGCCTTCATTCGATCCAACAACTTAGCTGTTCGTAACCATGGCGAGTCGAGGCCACTGGAGGAAGAAGTACCAATGAGTGCCGATAATGATGCAGATTTGAGATCAATTTATTCAGGAACTACAGCATATACTTCTAGACCGTTAGAGTCTGGTAGGTTATCGATAATGTCGGCCCTTTCAAGCGAGAGAACATCGATGGATCCGATGTATAGAAGAGCTGATGGCCCGATGGCCGATGTTACTTCCCGAAACTACCGTCCCACGACGAACGCAATATCTAAAGGCCACCATATGTCCAGCGGGGGGTGGCAATCAAGGCAACGCTCTACGCCTGGTGGCTCGCTACATAAGAGCATGTCTTATAGTAATATAGCGCAGCACCTGGCTATAAATAAGCCTCGAAACATGCGGAGGACATCCCTAGCATCTGTAGCCAGTCAACCTGAACTTCCACAGCACGCCCAGACACGGCTGGAAGAATATTTCGAGGGTAACCCATTGCCGACTATTGCCGTCAGAGAATTCCTCGCGTCAACCCTTGGCGTAGAGACTGCGGACATTGACGTAAGTAATATCTAATGAGCATTACATAGAATTTAGGCTTACGCAGATTAGGCTTGGTTCGAAAACCGTCGAGACCAACAAGAGGTCGAGAATCGATTGCAGAGCTTAAAGATAGATGACCAAAGCCGAGAGCCTCCCAACCACGGGGCTCAGATGATTCTTCCCGGGCACCTCAACAAATTGCTTGAAATATTCCCAGAGGATCAGATTGTGATAATTGACCTCCGCTCACCATCCGAGTACGCCCAGTCTCACATCCATGGCGCAATCAACTTCAGGGCACCCGCTTCCTTTGTAGCACGAGCCACCATGGAAATGATCGAAAAGGCACTTCCGGATGAGACAAGCCGCGATTCATTTAATAACTGGTACGCAAGTAAATGTGTCGTATTTTATGATAAGGTAGTCGAGTATCCTTGGGAGACGCCCGTAGCGGACGCGCTTTTACAGAAGCTTAGGAGCAAAGGTTGGACTGGTCAATGCTTCGTGCTCAAGGGTCACTTCCGCGAATTCTCACAATCATTCGACAAGTATATTGTGGGTAACAATATGAAGAGCAGCGCGAAGGAGTATCTTGCTAGCCTCCAGGAATCTTCATGTGAAAAGAAGGTAAGTTTAAATACAACCCTCCCCCATTGAACATCACACTTACAATGCCATTATAGAAGGATAGCCATCAGCGATACGGCGAGTGGCTCAAACTCCTCGAAGGTGAAGATAGGGTACAAACAACTGACCTCGTGCCGGCGGTCAAGAGTGAGCGCGTCGAGGCTACGACGAAGCACCAGAGGGAGATTGAAGATGAATTTGAAAAAAGGGAGCCGGAACTATACAGGGAGGCCGCGGACCGTGAGCCAGACGGAAATTGGGCCATTAAAGGCCCTATGGTAGCTCATTTGGAACGTGGAATCGCCAAGATGCAAGAAGCTGGAAAGGGTGTTGGTATGAGCAAATCTGGTCCAGATTCCTCTGACTATAAACGAGCCGCGGATAAACTCTCCATGTCGGAATATGACTTGCTCGAGTCCGAAGATGAGCACCCGAGCCATAACGCAATTCCGCCAAAAAGGGGATCAGGATCCGCCCCTCCTAAATCTACGCCCGACGAACCCGCCCCCGAGAAGAGGGGACGATCTACATTAGGCGGCGGGCGCGGTTTTCTAAACAAGATAATGCGAAGCGCTCGCCCGGATACTCCATGATAGGAATGTCCCTATTACCGTTGTTATCGCTATATTTCGTTCTAGACGGGGACAATAAGATATTTACGGCATTTATTATTAGGGATGTTTGGGACGGATATGAATGGGACTAGCACGATATGGTTGATGAGATAATGGTTGTGATTTACTAAGCGGTTGGATAGGTGGAAATAAACGGGGTTAAGGGGTGAGGCAACTAAATAAGTTGCGGGTGGTGTACTGTTGGGAAATGTGCTCAGGTATGCGTCTTATATCCCCTACCGGAAGGTCTTACGGTGGCTCTCTATTCTAGACGAAGGTAGGATATTTCGTTTTGATCTTACTTCGCGGTGTCTCGGCGTGTTGTATTATATAGCGCTCATTTGAGGGATAGATGATGGATGGATATCGGTAGCGTATATCCATTGGTATGTCATATTATGTTGAACACTAGTTAGCCCCTGAATATCATAGGCTCGTGGTTTTATGTCCAACTGGTTCCTGCGTGGAACATACAGGACATTCCCCCTAGATAACGCTCTGACATGTTTCAGTACAGGCTAATTAATGGCCGCTTCACGAACATACTTGGATATCTCAAGGGGTTCGTCGTATAGTCAAGCATACATACCACTAACCCTCTGGTTGAGACAACCACGCACTCATCTTCCAGTCTCTAGTAGTTATAGTCCGAGCACACATATATATGTGAGGTTCGCTATCTACATAGGTAGTTATTATATAAGTACATAGGTTAGATATACTACAGGTATGTTACACCCCTTTCTTTTCTTCTTATATTTACTTTATTGAGTAGGCCGCTAGATACTTCTTACTAAGTTTAATTCTCAACTTAGGGGTATGTGTTTTTATGTGCATAAATGTCTCGATCTAGGCTAGATTAGTAAGAATTAATTAATATAAATAAAAGAAAGGGCGAAATAAATAAATATATATGGAAATGAAAAAAGTGCAAAAGAAAGAGAAAAAAAATTGTGGACCGGATGGGATTCGAACCCATACTTCTCCATGAGAGTTGGCTTTGACCACCGGGGAGGCCATGGGGTTGGCCGTCCGGGGCGCGGAATGGGATGGAGTGTGCACCGTTACACCACCAGCCCTTTCTTGATTGTTAATGTTTCCTGTGCTATTGGGATTTATTTACCTTAGGTACCTAAGGTTGCGAGGTTGACAGGTGTCTGTTGCTATGGCTGCCGGCTGCTGTCTGGCGGGCTGTGGGTTGCGGGTTGACTGGCTCGGGTTACGTACCTAGGTACCTAGGTTATTTCGAGATGTTAGTGACGGGTGGTACTTTCTACATACCTTCTAGCACTTATATGAGGAATAATACTCTAATGCTAGGTTGTCATAGGGGAGGGGTTTGGCGGTTTATGGTTGATTCTATGTGGATGTGATGTACCCCTATTTTAGGTAGACATACATATGTCTACACTTTGCATGCATTTCACTCTGTATAAATTAAGAGATTTATTAACACCTGATTACTTAAAGACTGAGCAGATGCGGAATGGTAGGGAGAAATATATATTTGTCAAGGCCTATTTGCTACTAGGTACACAGAAAACCTCCGATGCCGTGTGATATGCCCAGGCTCCCAATTATGGTAGGCTCATTTCCCAACTTTTATACAGGATTGCTTGGTCCTCGGTTGCATTGCGAGGTCCTTATACCTTGAGATGAATGGATGAGGATGCTAGCCTCGATGGTGGTATTGAGGCCGCTTCTGCTATTGAGCCGATCTGATTGATATGAACGCCGTTTGCCTAATCACCGCCGCCGTGGCTCTCGGATTCATCGCTTGAATCTAGAAATCTCGTGTGCTTGTCAAAAATAACCACCCCACTATTTATTTTCGCTGCATCAAGACAGTTCAGCTTTGCCTCATTTACTTCTTTCATATATTGTTCAAGCGAACATTGATCAGAGGGGACCGGTATGAGATCCTGGAGGTCGTAATGCAAAGTAGACCAGATCTCGTAGAAGACGTTGTACCAACGTTTGTGATCCTTATCTAGATGGCCCATTGATTTTGCGTATCGCAACCTCGTCTGGAAGAACTGTATCAATCTGTTCTCATTCTTGCGGATCTCTTCGAATGTTGGATAATCGTCGAGGTATCTGTCCAATACAATCGATAGGTCGTAGGAGAATCGACGTTTTAAGGCCGTCAACATATTAACTAAACCAGCTTGTCGAAGAGATCGTCGATAATCATAAGTCAATTCATAACTCCACCATAGAGCTGCTTGACCGTCCAATAAGACCTCAAACAAAAGTACGATCTGTTTCTCGTTGGCTGCGGCGGTATCACGGTCTTCGATGAGGGATTCAATACGCTCGACGAAGCGTTCTATATCGATAAAGATTATAGTATTGCCGTCGATTATCATGCCAACCCCGTTCGGGTCGGGGTGATCAGGGTTGAATCGGCCGATATCTTCTCGCCTGAGCTGCGATATTGATGAGGTTCCGAGGATAGATCGAGTAGCCTGTGTAGCAGAGATTGATTCGGTTACCGCTTTCGTAAGATCTTCTAATCGTGAGAGGATTCTGTCTATGCCGTCCAGTTGACCAGACTGATGCTCGACATTATCATCTGGAGACAAGGCTGTTTCGAACAGTTTTCTGGCAACCTTCTTGGTAGCTCTAGTGGATAGATGAGTCATTGACTTAGAACGAGGCTTGATCTTAACCTTCTTGACCATCTTGTTGGATGATTGACCGGCGAGTCCGGCAACACTATCGTCCGCGGATTCAGTCATGGTGGTCGAATCAACGTAGTAGATTTGTTGTTGAAGATGTAAAAGATGGAGAGATTTTGGTTGAATGATACGAAATTATATACGCGTAAAAAGTGACACCAAAGGCAGCAGCTGCCTAAGGTAATAATTTCTTTTTAGCAAACTTTTCAGTTGCTAAGGCAGTTACTGATTGTAACCGCGTCAGGTATCCATTTCAGGTGTCGACAGCCACCTGGCGATAGTTACCTAGCAACGAGTTGAATTCAAACATCATGCACATACTTGTAGTGCTGTTTACTGTTGGGAAGGGCGACTAGTACTAGTAGTCATATATGGGGTTTAAATGTGCTAGACATGATGTTGTCTTAAATCTGAGGGTAGAATACTCAGAGCTATCTGGATGGCTCAGAATCTAGGTCAAAAGAATACTATTAAAGCATCTATATAAATTGGTCTATAAAAGCATAATTGCCGTCATTATAACGTCTGAATAGTTTCGCTGGGTCGATATGAATAATACACCTTACATTTACTTTGGCACTCCTATAATTCTTCTTACAAGATCGGAGATGCTAGCAACGAACTCCCTGACGAAATTCAGAAAATTGTTTACGTAGGGTTAGAGTTAGAACTATTTAAAGGTAGCCTTGAATATAGTTAATCGAGAAATAACTCTAGATCGCCTTTAGTAGTACTATTGACCGAGAGAAAGGGGAAGCCCCTGAAAACCTAGGAGGCGGCGTTGAGTATAGGTTCGTGGAACCCTCATGGTCCCAGCACTGTCATTTGGTCTTAATGAAAGCCGTAGGCCGATGCCAATGAACTACCCAGATCTTGCGAATCAAATTTATATTGATTGTCTAAGAATAGATCCTATCGTATTCTTTCGCCACTGTTTCCAGCCCATTCATGTTAGTTCCAGGCGATTTCCCTTAACTACTCCTTTGAAAATAGCGTCTTTATCGCAGTAAGGCGTTAAGGAACGTTGGTCGGAAGTTATTCCGAAAATTGCGAGCAATATCTATATCTCTACTTTCAAGTACGTCAAGTCCATGTTACGTTAAGCGTGCTGGTTTCATAGTGCTATGATGGTACTTCTTAAATCAAACTCTCCTTACCCTCATGTAAGCCGTAACGTGTGATGAACTAGTACAGATATCTTCGAGGGGTTTAGAGTATTCACTCACTTACATAGTTGGGGTTGCTTCATGATGTATTTACATTGCCAAACAAGGTTCTTTCCTACTAGCTTGCTACGCCATTTCTATGTCGAGCTTTAGCACCTAATACCAACAGTAAGAAAGTTGCCAAGGCCTTTCCCCTCTGGCTCGTACGACTTATTCCGATGGAACATGGCCAATTCAACCCATAGTAGTGTTTAAAAGGTCAGACCAGTAGGCTACTTTGAAATTCCAAGTGCTAAGATGCGATCTAGATATAATAATGGTGCTAGGGATATTTGAATTGCTTGCTATTTTCTCTATTTTTCTTGTAGTTCAAAGGAGATGGATAGCTGTGTTTCTAACCCCTTAAGATAAATCTTGTAGTAGGGTACTTAGTACTTGAAGCATAGAGGCGCAAAGAAGGTGCGTTGAAAGAAGCACTACCTGAATAACGTTAACGTAATGCTTAATGGAAGCCACGTGACTAATACCCCATACCTTCTTACCTTATAATGTCTAAAAATAACGACTAGAAAAAGACGCTTTTTTTCATTAAGGAAACTCGCTTACAACACCTGCATTTCCACATATTCTAAGAATGACGATGGCACGTTTCTCCTTCATGTTGCAAAATCAAGATAATACACCTTGAGGACATTTTATGTTATTTCCGACCGCTACGGAGAGAACCTGCCGAGACTCGTCATCTTTTTGAATGATCTACCTGCTAGGCTGGCATCCGAATCGCGCGATTCCGGCTATGGGGTAGATCACATCAACGCGTGGGTTTGGTTGATGGTCTCGAAGGCTACGACAACGTAACAATCCATTCCAATTAATTTATTTATTTCCCTATTCCTCTCTTTTAACATGAGTTTTTGGTTGAAAAAATTTGCGGCTAGTGGTACTGGGAAGTTGGAGGGTAGCTTTAGAACAAAGGTCATGCAATGCAAGGTAGATGGTAGGTTGCTTTTAGGATATTTTCAAATTAATATAATATAGCCATTCTCCAATCCGACCCCCGTCACTTTCAACCGTCTAGTGGGTGAAGGGCTGGACTAATGAGGCGGATCCTTGGCGGGCCGAAGGAACTCGATCCCAACGTCGCTTTCTATCCAGGGACGCGTCTACTAACCCCACAGAAAGCACTTAGATAGACGCCCTCTCGCTTTGCCGACCATCTGGGGAAAGATGACGAGTCATTCTTAACCTATTTCTATTAGCAAAAGAGCCGATCATGGAGGTTGTGTCTTCAACCGAACAGCCCCCCCTGGCCGGTACCTTTACACCGGGGGAGGTGAGGCTTGACGTGAGCCTCCTCGACATAAATCAACGAATCTACCTTTATTGAGTAGAACTATTATCTACCGCCACAATGATTTTTTATGGTTACTACGGATTTAGCATACGGAAATGGGGAACAACTTATTTTGGGACGTTTGTTCGATCGACATGGATGCTCATGTAGTATACCTTGGTAAACGCTCGATTGAAGTTGCAGTGTCAGCAGCGCATGGTAAGGATACTTTTTCAACCTCGTGTTCATGATCTCGCAACGAGAGTAACATCTGGCCAGTCCAGCCTTTTCAAAGACGCCATGATGGCTGCAACACAACTCAATATGGGCACTCCTGCAATACCTCTTTTATGAGTGGCTCGTTAATGCAGGTGGTCTGCTGCCAAGGTAGCATCCGGGTATATATACAATGCTCCTCACAGGGTTGACCAAGCTCCGATCCGGGAACCATGTGTTTTTTTGAGAGCTTTTTTTTCTGGATCGTCGCCTCTTATGGCATTCGGGTACGCGTGGCTCTATATACTAAGAATGCAACCCCTGTGCCGTCCGATGCCTTGGCCAGAGATCTATTAAGATAATTGGATTCCCAGTCTCTTTGTATTGCTTCTCTGGCTCTGGGAACTCTCGTGGCTTGAGGATTTGTTGTGTCCAGCCTTGACATTCGCTTCGTATATAGGGACTACGCTGCATTTATCACAATGCGCTGGTGGAACGCCTTGATCCTGGCCGCTTGCACCGGCCAGACGGCTGCGCATGTGGATCCAAACAATCCCAGCCATAGCCTACCAAAGCTTGCCGGGGGCAGAAGATTTTTGTCGGAATTTAAAGGGGGAAGGAGATGGGATAACCAGGCACGCGCTATGCGGAGAGCAGAAATGGTAGAAGCTCGGGATGAAGAGGAACTCGAGGAGCGAGGAGAACTTGAGCCACGACAGAGAAGCGGACGGTGCGGCGCGGGTCGTGGTAGTTGCGCGGCTAGCCAATGTTGCTCGGCTGAAGGGTTAGTTCTTTTTATTTTTTGTTATTTGCCGATAATGTGCTGACCGAATCAAGCTATTGCGGCGTAGGAGAAGATTATTGTACTTCACCCGACTGTCAAATTAACTATGGACCTGCATGTGACGGTAACCAAAAGCCTGACGGCGTGGACACATCGACTATTGCGCGCCCAAAACTAGGCAAGGTACGATACGGCGGCGTGGGCATTTACGACTGCGTAAACCAAGGTGATATTGCTGTAACCTTTGACGATGGCCCATACGAATATACCAACGACCTCCTCGATAAGTTTGCAGTATGTGTTATAATGGCCCTACATTATTTCAGAGATAGTGCTAATAAGGACGAAGAAATACGAGGCGAAAGCCACGTTTTTCATTACTGGCAACAACATCGGCAAGGGAAAAATTAACGACCCAGACTTACCCTGGGCCTCCGTCATTCAAGTAAATTGCTTCATATAGAGAGGGTCCGGAAGTGAATACTAACCAGTCATAGCGAATGGCCGCCGAGGGTCATCAGATCGCAAGCCATACTTGGTCGCACGAAAACTTCAGCCAGTTGACTACAACCCAGTTCAAGAACCAAATTATATGGAATGAGATTGCTTTTAATGATATCCTTGGATATTTTCCTACCTATATGAGGTTCGTGTTGGCTCCCCCCTTAAAGAGAAGAGACCTATACTTAACCTAAGACAGGCCACCCTATTCCATCTGCGCCGCTGCTTGTCAGACCCAGTTAGCTAACCTTGGATATCACGCTATATACTTTGACTTGGACACGGAAGGATACCTTCATGACGATGCCAGCCAGATCCAGACTAGCAAAGACATCTGGGATGACGCAGTTGATGGATCCAGCCCATGTGAGGATAGCTATCTCGAGATCGAGCATGATATCCACTACCAAACTGTTTATAACCTCACAGACTATATCCTCGACTCGCTCTTTAGCCATGGCTATAGGTCTGTCACTGTGGGGCAATGCTTAGGCGATCCCCCTGAGAATTGGTACCGTGCTGGCACCGGTAAGGTTCCCGAGTATAACTTCACCATCCGTGCTCCGACCGGCACTTGGTCTTGCCTGAACCCTACGCCTACTTCTACCCGCCCAAGCCAGCCGACTAGCACGTTGAAGATTAGCGAAGATGGTCGATGCGGCGACGGAGTAACTTGCGCGGGCTCTGAATACGGAAATTGTATGTATACCCTGGCAATCGCCTTGAGTATAAGTTTAATTCATGCCACTAGGTTGTTCTACCAATAAATGGTGCGGTGGCTCCATCGACTATTGCGGCTCGAACTGTAGCCCGGAGTTTGGAACCTGTTCCTCGGCGGACTCGCAAATCCCGACCAGCATCCCGCTCCCTAACGGACCGGGAACCCCTGATGACCCCATAACCACCACGGGATCGGCACCCGCCCCCACCGGAACGCTTCAAGTGTCGATTGAGGGAAACTGCGGTGATGGATTCACTTGCGAAGGATCGGAGTTTGGAAACTGTTGTTCAGAGTCAGTGTAGTTCTTATTTCAAGGTTTTTTTTATATGAGGGTCTAGGCTGGATATTGTCCTTTGGTAGGACATGGAATATCTACAAAATTTATGTTATGAGAAATGAATATGAAAAAGTCAATTGTTGTTTAGACTATGTTACTAACTTTTGAACTGTAGACACGGCTGGTGCGGCTCAACGATTGACTACTGCGGTGAGGGTTGCCAATCAACTTTCGGATCAGGATGCCAGGCAAGCGACCCATCTCCATCACCTCCAGTAACTTCACTACCTCCTACTAGCACTAGTGCTTCTCCCACATCTTCCACCACTTCGCCTCCAACATCAGTGACACCACCTCCGGTATCAACAACTTCAACTAAGACGAAAACGAGCAGTAGTAGCAGTAGCAGTACCAGCAAGACGACCAAGAAGTCGACTAGCAAGTCATCCTCGACATCCCGCTCATCAACTAAGAAATCTACCTCTCATTCTACTTCCCACTCGACATCTCACTCCACCAGCCATTCTTCATCGCATACGAAGACTCAGACGAAGGACCGAAGGGCTAAGGAGACGCAGGGTAGTTAGCTAGTTGGTCATGCACTGTCTTTACTAGGTAAGAAAGAGAAGAGAGTTGCATGGGATCTCGCTACGGGGAGTAGGCTATTTTGCAATGTAATCTAGGGTTTGGAAAAAAAAAGATACTAAGAAATGATTAGCATTTTGAAACGATATCATACCGGGAAAATGTCTGAGTGATTAAAACTCGCCGTTATAGATAATAAGGGGAGGGCTTACTGTTTTCTTCGTAAAGGGGATGAATAGTGAGTTGGTTATGAACGCTCATCTCGTCTCATCCCGAGACATGTCCAATATAGCATGCGCAACGAACCAAAACATCTCACCAAACATCGTTTCTCAAACTCGTGGAAAACTCTCACATTGTGGATTAGATATATACGTACGTACATAGGTATATACCTACATACACTCATTCGCTATTTTGGTATATCTCTCCCCCCTCCTCCCTTTCCGTTCTAAGAAACGCCGCGGTAGACAAAACTCCCCGCCCTTCACTCCAAGCGGATGCCGGGTAAGATGGCGGCGGCTGCGACGGCGGTGCAAGTGTTGGTGGCGTCGTGTGTAAAGCCAACGAACTCCCCTACCCTAACCCGAAACCCCAAGTTAAAACGAGCGCCGCGAAAAATAAAGATAAAAAATAAAAAATAAAGGATGTGCTAGAGGTATATAGATTGGTGGTTAGCGGTAGTATAATACATTTCAGATTCCGCACGCCATCCGCCTAGCAAGAAAACACAACACGGCACAACACAAAGATCAACAGGACATAAGTAAAACAGAACAATGTTCAATTCAAGCACCCATCGTGCCGCTCCGCCCACCCCTAGAGTATCACCGCCCATATGCAAGATAATGTCACCTTCTCCCCCCTTCCCCAAAATGGTAGTGTTGTGGTGCGCAGTTTGCAACGAGCGATTTTTCTGTCCCTCGCATATCATGTCATGTCGTGTCTATATTTTCTTTTACAAGTAGGTAGATATAGGTAGAGGTATAGGTACCTCCTAAGGCAATAGTAGGTAGTTGTTGAATCGTCCCAAGTCAAGTCAAGTCAAGTTCCCAAAAAACAAAAAAAACAAGCAGACTATATCTTGCCGTGTCCAAAATCCCGGATTTGCTGCCCTTAGACGCTTTCCCGTCCCGTCCTAGCCGGTATGCGATGCTATGCTATATCGATGAGTTCTGGGCCCTAGCTATTATCCTCTCCATCTCGGCGGGATCGCTTATGCTCCTTTGCCGTTCTGTCCTCTGCTCGTCGCCCGAGCTGCTTGCTGATTCGTCGCTGCTTTCCTCGCCGTAGACGATGTGCCTTAGGACACTCTTGTCGAATAACTCGATTACTAGATGCCGGTCCGGTAGCCTATAGTGGTGACATTCCATCAATGCTAGAATCTTACGGAATAGGGTAGGTTGCCGGAATCCCAGAGCCTTTTTATGTCGTAACTGGAGTAGCTCTACTTTGGCCTTCTTATAGAGCACCATATTACCTAGCTCAGTCATGAGCTCTAATATGCGTCGGTTAGTCGGGTCCTGTTCGTCGATTTCCACAGGCGGTGGTTCCAGCACTGTTTTCTGGGTATCTAAGACTCTGATGTGCGCGGGTATCTCGTGTTTCCAGGGCTTGCAAGAGAAGAATTTGGAAAGATTCTTAGGAACGCAAAGCCCCAATGACATCCCGAGAGGCGTAGTATTTGATTCCCAACCATGTTCAGAGAGGATCTCTAGTCCGTGCGTAGATCTCGATATTAAACCTAAGACGAAAAATGCGGTACCTCGAAGACTCATCACGTCATGAGATTCGGCGATTTTGACGATATGTTCTACTACATCCGTCGATTCCAAGAACGGAGCCCCGAGCTCCATCGAGCCAACGTTTCCAACTGCCCATAAGCAGCCTTTAACTTTTGTGATAAGTTCAGGATCATCGGATTGCATTCCGTATTCACTAATAGTCGCGGCGAACTCTTCGAAGTGGCCCTTGTCTTCGAGCAATTTACAACCTTCTTTCGTGCGCGTCAATTCTCGGTAGAAATGAGGTGGGACGTGGTTGTCTTGGTCCGTATCCAAATCGTCTTCATAAATACTAAGGCGATGTGGTTGATCCTCTTGGGTATCGATGAAAGAACGTGCTAGACTAGCTTCGATAAGACTAACATAGGTATCGTTGCGCCCGAGGAACCAGTCGTCCATTTCGTTACTTATATAGTCTAAGCCATCTAAATAATGATAACCGATAGAAGTAGACAAAAATCGGAGTAGCAAAGGTGCCCCAATCTCGCCTAGGTGGTCCAATGCAGGCCGGCATTCCACTATATACTCTAACAAGGCCTTACTATTGCAAGCCTTCTCAAGAATCTTGACGGCCGTAGCACAAACCTCAACTTCTGGGTCGTAGAGTTGTGTGACAAGTAATTGAATCGCCCACTTGGAGTCGGAGATAACTTGGCCTGTCGGCGTAACTCGCTGCCTTGTTGCATATTTTCGAAGTACGTTAGTACTATGTATTCGCATTTCTTTTGTACCAGCTGTCAAAGCCTTCGACAGTAGCACGCGCGGGTGGCCGTGAAGACTATAGTCAAGATGACTGAGAAGCAATTTGATGAGATCCGGTCTTTGCTTAAAATCGACGATATGATACATCATATTGAAGATGCGCCATCTCTCGAGCATCTGTAATCCCTTGGGGTCGCTGCTCAGAGCACCGATCATAGGGAAATAACCGCCGCAAAGCGTATCTGTAAGACGATCTCTCGAAAACATCGGATACTGTGCAGTCAAACCGCTGGTCTAGAAGCAAGAATAAGTATTTAACCTAAATCTTTCAACATATATGTTCTTACCGGATCACACTGAGCCAAGCACTCAGCGATTTGCCTTAATAGCTTATTATCTGCAAGGTATTTTGTCCCTTCTGCTGTTTGGAGCAGCGTATGCATCAGTGCACAGCCAACCCTAACATACTTTTGAGTATTTCGCGTGCTCTTGATCTCCGAAAATTTGAATTTGAAAGGCCGATAAAAGCCTACGAGCCTTTTTGCGAATTTTGATGCCTTGATAGCTTCTTCTAAACGTTTACCATTCATCAGTGGCCCTTCAATTATCTTTAGAACGACATCCCAGTCCCATTTAGAAGGGTTCGAATGGCCGAGAACTCCCGAATCTATCAGCAGTTGACGGAACGTGGCATCGTCAGGGTTAATTAAAGCATTAGCCTTTGGTGCTTCTTCTGCATGGCCCATATTCTCTAACATGCTGCTAGAGGGGAGATAGCCAGGAGCGTAACCCGTTGGAGATGACCGGTAAAGCGTCCGGCTTACACTACTTATTTGGTAGACAATTCCGGTCGCGTTAAAATGCGCCTCGTCTTGGAAGTGCGAAGCAGCTGCGAATAGCTCGGGGAGTAACTGAAGTTCGCTACTCCAAGAAGGGGGGAGGATTCTGCTCGCGAGTTTGAGGGTTTCGCCAATGAGCAGAGTTGTTTTTCGCTTCAACATGGGATCGTCGGTGCCTTGAGCAACCTGGAGCAGGTTCGGCATCATCCCCGCTTTGATAAATATAGCCAGAAGCAATGCCGTATAGTGTTCTACGAAATTTTGCTCCGCACCGTCATCTTCGTAGACTGTATCGTCCTTGCTCGGCATTGAGGACTTCAATGTCGTTACTCTTCCATACGTTGTCAGACGTCGCCCTGCAAGATACGACGTGGCCCATGCAGGGGGTTTAATACGAAGAAGAGAATAAAGCAAATCCATCACAGTGTCCCGAATCGTCGGGTTAGGCAGCATCAAGCTCGATATCAAAGAGCCGATCGCTCTGAAGTTGTACATGGACAAGGTCATGAGCCCAGACCAGCTCTTCAAAGCAGAAGCAATTGCCCTTGAATTTTGTTTTATAACCCCCTCGTACGAGAACAGAGCATCGGTAAAGGCCGTAAATAGAACTTCTAATTCATATCCGGCCCGTAAATACTTCCGTGTATGTGGCGCATCTAGTAGGTAAAGAAAAGCCGAGGATAAGGATTCGGGGGACTTGTAAGTACCCTCAGCGAGCGCCTCTGACAATGGTACTAAGCCGCCAGACGCCACAAGCAGCGCGGGATCCCGTAATAATACTTCGGCGAGTGTTTCGATACAGATTGGCCGGAGCCGATCTTCGACTTGCTCGGCGACTGCTGCTATAGTCCTAACCACGGCCCTAGACACCTCGCGAACACCATCTTTCACATCCAAAAAAGCGCGGACGAACTTGAGAGCCTGCTCGCGTTCCACATCGGCCTTGCGATCCTTGGCGAGAGACACGACTACCATGAAGTCGGTATTTAAGCTACGTATTTTCTTAAGAGAGGCTATGTCGGAAATAGCATATCGTAGCATTCGGTATCCTGACGCTACCACTTCCCTACTGCCGCTAAGCAGCATGACCTGCATCCTATCTCCAAAAACAGACCACACCAAGTCATACTTCAGCGTGGGGTGCCTTTTGAAGAGATCTACGAGGTTGTTGGCTCCCCCCACATAGTATTCAGGGGTCATACCTTCGACTTCTAGAGCTTGCAGTATCTCGGCAAGTGCAAATGTCGGAGATTCTGTCGACTCTTCGAAATCGGATCCGGCGCCGCTTCTGGATGCGCTTGGGGGCGATCGCAGACCTTCGTTACGCAACAACCCCTCGTTACGTGTTCTCGTAGGCGTACTAGGCACGGCCTTAGATCGCTGCGCATCCGTGATCCTTTGCTTCAGCTCTTTTATTCTCGTATTTGAGGCTGTAAGCTCGGCCTCTACCCTCTGGCGTTGTTCCTTGGTCTGTTTTGCTTTCTTTGCATTTAAAGCTTCAAGCATATTTTCGCTTCCCTCTTTTATTTTCATCTCGCGGCTAAGCGAGTCCTTCAACGAATTAAGCGTAGTCTCGGCGATGGAATCGTCATCCTCGTCCAGCTTTTCGCGGATATAGACGTCGACCCTCGAACCAGCCCTCGACTGGATAGTTTGACTGCGTAAGTCGGAACTGAAACTCCCTGGAGGTTGGGAAGGGTTGAAGGAAGCACCACGGCTCGGGGCGAGGGAGGTAGCGGTGGATGCCATGCTTCGGGCACCATCGCCGGCGGCAGGTGGTCGAAGTCCGCCATCGAGGCTCGGTCGCGAGGTGGTGAGGGGAGAATTAGTAGCTTGCGTACCCAACGACTTCTGAGCCGGCGTCGCGGAGGTGCTCAGCATGGTGGCAGACCCGACCAAATGCCCACCGTCTGGGACCAGGCCGCAGCGTCACTCATGGAGAGAAGCGAATGTTTTGTCAGGCAAATGATAGGTTCGTGTAGTATCGTGACAAAGCTATAATATTAGACTGTAAAGACTAGGCGAACTCAAGGACTGGGCCGACGCGAGCCGTATGTTTTCGACAAGAAAATGAAGAACTGCGCAAAAGGAAGACTATGAGCGAATAAGAGAGTAGAAGAAGGGGACGTCGTTGTCATGTCTCATAAAGTGAAGTGGTTAAAAGTAATGTAATGTTTGTTGTATCTATTCGTACAATAACTGCGATTTAGTGGTTTAATGGTTTAGTTGGGACGCCGCCGTGTCGGATTGCGGCCGCTTGTGCCAAGAAACAAGGATGGGATGAAAGGTGGAGGCGGAGGATACAATAGCTATGTACCCCCTGGTAGTCTTTATTACTTAATATTGAAACTTATATTAGACTTTTGCTGCTGCGACACCTTCTCCAGTGGTGATACAATAGGAGAAACATAGGTGGTGTTTACCCCTTTCATAAGCATGACATATACGTCAGGTATTTAGTGATAACCTCATTTTTTTTCTTTAACTTTGACATGAATGTATTTATAAACCTTATTCTCTATTCTATCGTATGCAACTACTTCACAGGATATTCCCTATTTCCCTCCAAATGACAACTCCTATTGGCTAGTTTTAATTATACCCCGGATATGGGATATGCGTGCACTCAACTAAATATATCTTATCTCTCATCTCCTTGAACCTATAAATAAGAATCTAAAATTTGGTCATTTAAAAGCTTCAAGACATCGAGAAAGACATGAATTATCTACAACTATAACGTTCTAACTAAATAACTACCAAGACTCGCAAATCATCAAATATCTTATAGAAAGGCCAGCCGAAACAACACATAATTGCCACAAGATTACTGCTGAACCCCGGGGTCCACATCCTCATACTTGTTTCCGATGGCAACCTCATCAATCCACAGCTGTCGGGTGCCCTGGTTTCCATCCATGTGCTTGTCGTCGTGCCAGGCATTGGCATACAAGCCGGTGCGGAACTGGAAGCCGTATTTCTTCTGCGTGTCCCTGTACGTAGTGATAAGGCCGGATTTCTCCAGCGCCTGCTTCCCGTCGAACCAGACCTTGTAGTAGCCCGAGTTGTCGCTTTCCCACTTGGCCTGGAGAACGACGCGGTGCCAAGACCCCGGCTTGATCGTGCCGACCGAGAACTTCTTCAGGGTGCTATCGCACATGTTGCCGCCCTTGCTGCGGATCTTGAGCTCGTTGCCCTCGACCCACATCATCATCGAGGGGATGAAGCCATCCCCGCACGTGTTATCGGGGTTATCCTCTAGGTTGCTGATGAACTGCGCGATGTTGTAGGATTGCTTGGACGAGGTGTCCCAAGTTGAGTGCAGCCGGAAAGCGAAGCCGTAGAACCCCTCGTCGCCGACTTTGTAGACGTCTTTCTTGTAGACTTCCGAGTGGTATCTGCCAGTGTAGCCAGAATCGTATATCTGAACCACTTTGATCGATGTGCCTGAGTTGTAAGACACGTTGTCGACCTGAGTTACGGTTCCTTTATGTTCGTGGTTGGTTCCATCCCATCCGTCCAGTGTTCCGTGGTTTTTGAAGACCGGAGTGGCAGAGACAAGCGTGCAAGGCGCAAGAAGCGCGAGCGCCGCGATCTTAGAGATAAACATAGCGAGAAGAGCGTGCTGAATCTTCTTTATAGTGTGATGAGGAACAAGCTTGACTTCTGTGATAGGAGTTGAGACATTGTATACTAGCCTGGGTAGTTCAACATTCATATATATACCCAATACAAAGCCCCGACGTTACCTGTTCAAATGCGACCTTCCATATTAGATTATTAGGCAATGTAAGGTCAATTGGGGTCCTGTCCATAAGATTCTAGTCAATCATTGTGTAAATACAGCCCCTGAACTTGCTAAATGACTAAGGGAGTCGGGACGTGAAAATCGTCAGCCAAATCTTGACCTACCATATTAAGAGAGATTCTTCTTATAGGTATGACAGATCATAGAACCCAACATAGGTAATTGTATAAAGTAGGTTATAGGGGAGAGCCAGATGATTCGTCCTCGAAGGGCGATATTCTTCGAGTAGCGCTTTAGCATACTGTGCAAATCATTTAAATAAGATCTGACAGCTTCAGCTAGGGCAGTTTCATAGTATTATTACAAAGTACAAATTACCATATAAGAAAGAGCTGAGCTGCATTTCTTTGGATTGGGGTAAGGTTGGCGTCAGCAGCTTGATGGAAGGCCTATCATACATATAAAACACCCCTGTCTATTTTCAGCCTTAACGATTCTATATTTAGCCTCTATATAATTCAGTATTATTCAGAAACAACTTTGGCGTGTTTTTCATCGAAGCAAACAATTGTGAGTTTTAACAACTACGAATGGGTCATATATGTATATATTAACAGCACAGGGAACACCCTAGTCCAATATGAGAGTTACAATCACAGTCAGCTTCACTATGAGATGAGTGGTGACGAGCGTGGTGTATGATGGTATGATGTGTATTGTGTTACCCTCGGATCTCTATACCCCAGGTCATTAGACGTGAGTCCTAAGAGCGCCTCCGTGGGGGTAGTCTCCTTTACATATTCGATTGAGGGGCTAGATTTCGACCACGAGTATATTAGTTGTGGCATGTAGAAGCTTGACCGGCGTGGATAATGTTTCTCACCTGCAGTCATTTTCAATGGCAAACGACCTTTATTCGCCGGTTACATATACCTATCAAGAGTCTGAGTCTCACAAGCTTAGATAACATAGAAACTCGGCAGATTATCTGTAAACACTTGACATCATTCAAGTTTTCTTCTGATATACTGAGTCAAGTAGAAACACCATAATTAGCACAGGTCGAGTGAATGTTTTAGTTAAAGATGGAAGTTGATTATTGAAGTATTTTAGAATACCTAATGAATTGAACATAAACTCGCTTCGCAACTCAGTAACACTTCCCGAATGGTCTTAGAATGACATCAGCCCGCAACAAAATCTAGATTGGGCATCTAGACCGCATGTTGCCTACATTAGCATCAAACAAAGAAGGGTGATATCGGTAGCAAAAAGGTAAGACAAACCGGACAGATAAGAAGCTAAAGCTTATGTATACATAGGCGGACCTAGGCAGGGTAACTGAATACCGATTACGGTAGGAGTCGGCCTTTGGGGTGTAGGGGAGTCGGCGGGTTCCGTAAGGTACGGTATGATGTATCGAGCAGCTAAAAAGTCGCCAATGGGAAGGATGCATTATTATTGGTTATTGGGGTAAAGCTTGCCGTAAAACAACTGCAAGCCAACAAGCTTAGCTTCTAAAGACCCATCCGAAGCCAGTTAACTGGGTCCATTTTACGCCTTTTACTTTCTTTTTCTTTTTTTTTTTACTAGCAAGTCCCCTCTTTTTTTCATCGCGCCGCCGTTCTTGTATCACCAACTACATAGTTACATTTTAAGGTACTCCTCTTATCGGTGACCAGCGGGCAATGAGCTTTGAGCGTCTTTGTATTATATCATATCGTATGGATGTATGTATGCATGTACGTACGTCCATATGTATGAGGCATGTACATATGCAATGCCGTATGCATCCGCTTCAGGCGCTTTCCGATCTGCAGAAAGCCAACCAACCTGCTGTGTTGCTCAGTCTAGCAGCTAAATCCGGGACTGTCCAGGACCCGGATCTGCGTAGACTACTACGTCCCTGCATCCTTATATGAACCTATTCAGGTTACGTATGCAGCTCAATTTGGGATGGAGGGTCGGTAGTCTAGTAAGTGTAGGTCAGAAGGTTAGTATGTAGCTTCGTTTGGTGATTTGGAGTTTAGGAAAAGCTGGAGTATCTCCAACGTACAAGAGACATCCATGGATATGTCCGAGGTAAATATACCTTCCTTACCTTTATATACATACATACATACATAGCTCCATATCACTTTAGATCGCATGTATATAAATATGCTGTCTTGTTTCTCCCTTTCCATTTATACCGCGTTCTTTTCTTTCCTTCTTCTGTAGACTGACTCGGCCAATGATTCACGACTTCCTTTTTTCTTCTTCTTCCTATTATTATTCTTACTTAGTATCCAATTGTCTCGTTTGATTACAATTGTACAGGATAGATTCGCCTTCTAACATTCTGCATCACGTTGCACCTAAGCCCTCCCTTATAAAGCAAGGTTATCGGCATCCCCAAAAGGTTTCGGAAGATTTAACTTTTACGGATTTCATAATCTTCGTAAATCATAATAAGCAAGAGCGAGGAGAATAAGAAAAACAGAAGAGCACACTCTTTCCATCATGCCCGTCGTATCAGCAGCTCGGTACGGAAAGGACAATGTCCGCGTATACAAAGTCCATAGGGATGAGGCGACGGGTACGCACACAGTTACGGAGATGACCGTATGCTGTTTACTCGAGGGGGATATCGAGTCGTCGTACACGGTAGCGGACAACAGCGTTGTCGTGGCCACCGACTCCATGAAGAATACCATCTACATCAAAGCCAAGGAGCACCCCGTGAACCCGCCGGAACTGTACGCCAGCTACTTGGGACAGCATTTCCTAGATCAATACGCCCACATCCACGCCGCCAATATCAGCATAGCTGTAAAGCGGTGGACCCGCATGATCATTGACGGAAAGGAACACCCCCATAGCTTCTACCGCGACGGCGAGGAGACTCGCAACGTCGAGGCCCGTATTACCCGCAAGGGAATCGAGCTCACTAGCGGTATCGCGGGGCTCCTAGTGCTGAAAAGCACTGGGTCCGCCTTCCACGGCTTCATTCGCGATGACTACACCACACTACCCGAGACCTGGGACCGCATCCTCTCGACTGACGTCGACGCTACTTGGAGTTGGAATACCCTACCAAGCGTGGCGGCGGTCGAGCAGAAGGTGGGCCAGTTCGACAAGGCTTGGGAAGACGCCCGTAGAATCACCATGAAAACATTTGCCGAAGAGAGCAGTCCTTCGGTGCAGCATACCATGTATAAAATGGGCGAGCAGATCCTCGAGGCCGCTTCTGAGGTCAAGTCGGTCACTTATGCATTGCCCAACAAGCACTACTTTGAAATCGGTAAGCCTACCCCTATCTACTCATCTCCGATTATATCAATCAATGTTAGACCAACCAACTTCTGACCATATTCACTTTCACAGATTTATCCTGGCACAAGGGTCTTAAGAACACGGGCAAGGACGCCGAAGTATACGCCCCGCAGTCCGGACCTAACGGTTTGATAAAAGTCGAGATTTCGCGCTCGTAGACGCTATTTCATCATTATTATTATTATGCAGATTTGTATCATGTCTTCGGCGTAATGCGCAGGCTTATAATTGTTTTTTAATCCGTAATTATCGGGGAAATGGGATTCTAGCCGGGTTATCAAGTTGTTATTGCATCGAAACGAGTATCTAGATACCATCTCAAGATAAGACCTCACAATATTCTTAAAATCTTCTTTCGTACTTGTAATTGTGCTGTTAAATATAATATATATGTGTGGTCATTTTCATGATTCTGACCCTTAGTACTCCCCCTTACACCCATAACGAATCTACGGCTTGCAATACACCAAGGAGTACCGGTTTCTCGACCACTTATCAAGTTGGTTGTCATGAGATGCATTCGTTATACACATACGATGTAGTACATAGCAGATATGCAGAGCCAGTACCTAATTCCCCTGGCAAAGTCCGCCTTTTCTCGCCCGAAAGCCTTCCTTCACGCTCACATTCCCTAAGCTTCCCCTAAAGCAAATATTCCGCTATAACCTCTCCGCACCCGCCTGTCTTATCGCCTTGACCGCCTCGCCCCAGCCCTCCTTGCCCACCTCCACACCACCAAACCGTATCAAGTTCTTCTTGAACGGGTGCGCGTCGCCCTCAAACGCCTTCAGCCGAGCGAGCCTCTTATCCCGCAGCCTGTTCTTCGGCAACATACCGCTGACGGCCTTACGTAGGACCTCGGCGCCGCCGTACTTGGCCATGAGCACGTCCATGGTGACGGACTGCAGGGAACCGGGCCGCGTGTTGTGTCGGTAGTACGTCTTCTGCCACATCTTGCGGCCGGTGACGTGCAGGGCCGCGCAGTTGGTTACTACCACGTAGTCCCCGCAGTCCGTCGACGGGTCCCAGATCGGCTTGTGCTTGCCCATGAGGATCACGGCGATGCGCGAGGCCAGACGGCCTAGAGATGGCGGGGTTACGTTCGGTTGCGTGGAGAGCGTTGGGTGTGGCGCTGCGGCGGAGATGTGGTGCCATACTCGCGAGTAGGCTAGTTTCGTCTATTCGGGGGGAGTATACTTGTGAGTCTTCGCTATGCCGCTTCGACGGGATTGGAATGGAGGGGAGCTTACCAGCCCGACAGTCTGCGACATGGTGACGGCTCTCGAGGGAGCTTTTAGCCCCTCGTCGTCAAGGTATATGTCTAAATGCTCGATGGCCTCGACGAGGGGCGCATGTATGATCTATATGACCCTTTATGGTGCTGCAATGGCACGTTTGTCGCCGAATTCGCGGCTTCAGGGTTTATTGGATGTTTAAAGGTGCAATAGCAGAATTCGATATTCCAGGAGTCACGTGTGCTGTACCTAAGGGTACCGATATCTAAGTTTCCCCGCCTATCGATAAGTCATATCAATTTTTAGCGCATGACGATAAATTAGTGACGCCAGTCGCAAGCACCGAAGACCGAGCCCGCATCTTAGATAGTTGTATCTAGGAAGAATCGGATCAATTCTAAGAAAGGAATTGCGATTTCAAAGCAAAAGTTCTGCTTATTACATTTTATTGGCCTATTTAGTTTAGGTAAAAAAAGGTGGGTTTTCTATCGTGTAAGTGAATGGCTTCCAACCGTTTCTACACGATCGATTGTAATATTATGAAGCTCCTTTCGTCCCTTCGTCCCCTCTTCTGCTTCTGAGCATATGATGCTGAAATATTTACACGGTATATCATTTCGTTCTTTTGCTACGGGTACTGGTTATTTCTTCCTTGGCGTCGCTGCCGAGTCTTATTATCACCGTAACCAGCGAGAAACTTCCCTTCATATTACTAGATATCCTATTGCTACCAACGACAAGATGACGGTTCATAATCAGGCCAAGACTCCTTTTCAGGTCCGTCTATCTACGTTTACTTTTTTTTTCATGGCTACCTCCTTAGTTGTTATTAGTAGCCTTAGAAATAGTCAATACTTATCTATCAAAACTCGAGACAGTATAAGCTAATAGGAGCCATGATCGAATTATATAGACTTTATTCGCTGTGCCGATGACCTGTGACGGTTGTGTCAAAGATGTTTCGGATGCGCTATATAAACTCGGAGGCATCACTAAGGTCGAAGCCGACTTAGAGAGGCAGCTCGTATCAGTAGAAGGGACTGGTAAGATGAATCCATACGCAAGAGAAGCTACATAGTTGAAAGATCTCGATCTGAGACTAACACAATATATTCCTTAAACAGCTGCCCCGTCCGCAATTGTTAGCGCTATTGAAGCTACAGGTCGGGATGCTATTTTAAGAGGGTCAGGTGCTTCGAATAGTAAGTGAAATATTATATTTCCTTATATATTACCTTGTATATTTCTATTTAAATTTATGCAAAGTATCGGTCGTTACTTTATGACCGCCCGGAGAAGGTCACCAATCTCCTTTACCTCATGCCGAGCTTCACCGAAGCAGCCGGCTTACGCTCCGGGTCCCCTAATTCGATACGATAATCATTTGGCTCTTCCAGCTAGCTGATACAGATCCTTTTAGGCGCAGCTGTTTGCATCCTCGAGACGTATCACCGCAATGAGAAGGGTGGTGATGCATTGGTGCCTGCTTCTGCCCCAGAGGCAGATACGGAAGGATCCGGAATAAATGACAGGGAAGTCAGGGGTTTGGCCCGCATGGTTCAAGTCTCTCCTACAATAACCTTGGTGGATTTGACTGTTCGTGGAGTTAAGCCTGGTACATACTCGGCCAGCATAAGAGAATACGGCGACCTCAAGCTCGGTGCTACATCTACGGGTCCGGTATGGGCAGGCGGGAGTGGCACAACGCAGCCCCGGGGGATCTTGGGTACTGTACAGGTCGGAAAGGATGGTCGGGGCGCAGTATTCTTCGATCATCCTTTTCAGGTTTGGGAGGTGATTGGACATGCAATGGTTGTTTCTAGCCAGCAGGAAGGGGTCACGGAAGGTAATCTGAGAAATGATGAAAACACTGTCGTTGGTGTCATTGCGAGGAGTGCCGGCATGTGGGATAATGATAAGACAGTATGCTCATGTACTGGCAAGACGCTTTGGGAGGAAAGAAAGGACGAGGTAAAGAAAGGTATGATCTAAGACTTGAACTGGTTCTGTACAAGTTTTGGATCCGGCAACGTGTATTGGAGTGGGGGTTGTTCGTAAAGACTATTGGTATCCAATAAGCACCGTTGATACATAGAAAGCAAGCAACTCTGAGAGGTCAATTGGGCTTCTGCCTCGTCGAATTGAGTCTCCCAGGGGTGCCCGGCTTGTTCAAGATCCCGTTTATTCTCGTGTGCCTCGACATTGACAGCATCTATGTATAATTCCCCTGTCGGTCCCTTATGCAGGGACATTCAGGGTCTAACTTTACCAAATTTATTCAAACGGCAAAGAAACAATTCGTCATAGCACACAATATGCAATGTTGTTATTGGCGACTGTTCACTGTTGATTATGACAGCTCGGCAGTCGCTTTGACAGGCTTACATTGGACGACGCTACATAAAATCAGACGACAGATCTGCTCTGATCATGTCATTCGATTTATTTGAATAAGAAACGCTCCTTATCAACGCGGGCATATCTAGTCAGCATACCTAGGGGCTCGGGATAAAGATGCCGAATTTGCGTGCCTAGAAGAGTTCGATGGATCGTGTGGTATCCTTTGGGTAATGGCACCATGTACCGACCCATGGTGGCGCCACACAATCCAGGAGTATTTAAAGAATCTCATGATGAAGGACCGCCAAGGATTACCTCCTTGGGACATCGTTCCTACGTCAACCACTGCGGTCACAGAACCAAACGAAATATTCTAGGGACGAAGTCGCAATGGCTATCCCGGGCTTATTTATCTCCTTCTCGCATCGACGAAAACGTTGAAGATAGTCGATAATCGTGGAGAAAGACATGAAGAATGATAGATCATCGAACGAGACGGCGTGATCATGATCTTTCTTTTTGGCGGCGCGCGGAGAAGTCGTGGGTAGGGGTTTATCCAAAGCCAAGTCTCTATCTGACGTTTTATGGCTGAAGAACGAAAAGCTTGGCTTCATGGCCGACTCCGGGGCCCCGGCTGTTGGCAGTTTACACGACATATGAGGAGAGGTTAAGCGGTTGGTTCCGCCGTGCTCATACCCTTTTTCATCCCTCATGCCTTGAACCCAACTTACCGACCACATCTTCAACACCAAGCTTTAACCTCAGATAACTCTCCCACACCAGACTTATCTAATACACGAACATAGCGCTCACCTCTTAATGCAGACCTTGTCACAAAAGTGCCGAGAATCCCACTTGGCGGTGACCGGGAACACGTGGAATGAGACAAACAAGATCAATTCAAACGCACTCTCTTAGGTAAAAGAGTATGGTATCCTAGTTATCGGTACTCACCGCCGGAGATGGTATGCAGCAAGGCAGCAAGGATACTACTAGATAAAAAGGTTACCTACTACCCATTTCAAAGTGCGGTTGAAGAATTTTTGTGATTGTGACGGGAAAAGAAGTGGGTTAAAGAAATATCTATGCAACCTCTTTAGCCCATTAGATAAAGTACATAATTACCCGTGGGCGAAGGATCAACAAGCACCAAGCTATTGAGATCGGTATGCTACGCTTGACTATGTATGACGGGCGTCGCTACTGAAAACACGGACGTTGCACTATCTAAGCAGGGTCTAGAGGATCGAGGGAGGATCGCTTTTAGTTTCGATTCTTTTCCTTTTTCCAAAACATTACTTGTGTAGTAGTAGGCAACATTTGTTGAGGCTCTAGAGATCTGATCCGCTAAGGAGGTTCAGATCACAGATGCCGTGGGTCCAGGGGCTTCTGAATAACACGGACTTTCTGAGATTTGAGGATCATCAAACACCCGCCCTGCGCTTTATGCCGGGCCCGACTACCTAGGCGGGTGCCTATGCTACTCGCTTTAATAGATACCCAGCTAATAGTGGATATAGTTGTCAAGGCTAAGGATAGGAAGACTATCTCAAACGCATCGGAGGGAAGCGAGTTTCGCAATAAACTTGAGATATTACTATGCAATCTAATAGTTTTGTATCTTCAATAACAATTCTTCAGCTGACACTAATTCGTAAAGGACGTGCGTCTTGTAAAGATGAGATGGTGTAGAGCTATCTAAGACCGGGGAGCTAGAACCCGCTGCGATGGGATGGACATCATAGGGGAACAATGGACAACTAGAATGGGTCTCTCGGAATGTGAGATTATAGCACGCCGTCCGATTGCATCGTGCATATTGGAGAGATGAGATGACTAGCAGGCATTAAGTTGAGTTTGGTAACGACTTTACATGCTTGACATGTACGGAATAGGCATAACTATAACATAATCGATGACAAGCCTCCGTTTAATCCTCCGACCTCGAGTTATGAGAGAGCATCACATGCATTACTGCGAGTGACGAATTGTGCTGAAGATAACTAGAAGGCTTGTCGGCGCGTAGATATGATCCTACAACACCGATTGGGGTAAAAGAGAAGAACTACAAGATATACAGATTACCTATTCCGGATTCGAGATAGGAGATGAATCTACTAGGTATCTACTATGTAGGTTAGACAGCTCGAGCACGGAGCTTGTTGATTCGTCTACGGGAAAGTTCTCGAAGGCGTTGTAATAAGAATTGTGAAAGGAATAATAAGACGAACAGGACATTGTACACGACCTAGAGCACTGACTGGCTCGATTCAGATTTTAGGCGCCCTTGGAAACGCCTTGGAGTCCGACACTGCGGGGGCTTTGCCGAATCCCGTCAGCCAATCATGACCCCTTAATCGACGCTTTGGAACGTTTGCTGCATGAGGAGAGACAGGGTCCGTTCCAAGTTGCAACCCCAAGAGCCAAAAGAGTAAGAGACTAGGATTAATATCGACGACTATTACTATTTTGCTAGTTATACTACATGCACTACTTAATGCTCACTGCTAAAGACGTTACATACACTAGTAATCACTTACAGGTATACAGGTATGTAGAATACGTACATAGTATATGGGAATCTTGATGGTGATTATGAGCATTACCATATTCGTCTATATCATTTATAACGGGATCTTCTTAGGAAGGTTTCCGTGAAGATGGCTCGATAGAACGAACTGGCGTTAATCATCCAAGGGGTAAACGAAGGAAGGTAAAATAGACGACCAAGTAGTCTTGAGACGGTCTCAGGCGGTACTACATACCTCCTAGTATTTTCATCCGCCATCCTTCTGATCTATAAACAACTTATACGTTGTACGATCGACTTCATTGTAGATGTTAGTTACGTCCGTAGCGGCCAAATTCAGCATCGATGGTGCGAAGGAATCGGTTAACTCTAGGTAGGCAATTTGCGCGCTTGTTAATGAGGCTGTACACTACTTCTAGGCGCCCTGGGCCGCCAGCAAAGTTGTGTTTAGATGAGACAATCTAAGAACATATTAAGTTGTATATTGTTCGCTTGATCATGACAGGTCGAACGACTGACTGGTTAAGAAGTTAAACTTCCGAATACCAACCAACTTCTTGCAACCCTCACTTCTGAAGCGGAATAAAAAGGGACGGGTGGCCGGCGTTCATTAGAAGTTCACTCACAAGACCAAAGTCCAAGCCCTCGGTTGAGAAGATACATTACCTGTGTACCTCTTAACCTACACCACCCTTACCCCTGTCTCTCCCTACAGTCTGGACCCTGGTTAAGCATCATCGTCGTTTTGGCTGCCCGCAAAGAGGGCGCTCCGTATCCCGTACCCACAAGCATCACTCATAATCGCCCAAAGCAAAAGCCGGGGGGGGGGGTTCATTAAGAGTTTTTCTCTTTTTTTTGACGAATAAGTACATACGTACTCAAATAATACAATTAGATCCATCCCAGCTCGTTCGGAACTCTGACCAAAAAGACCCAGATTTACCAGTCTTTTCCGTCCAATGCTTCGCTTGGCACAAGGTCTCGTCCTCGCCTGTCACTGTCTTTTCCGCCTTTCATCCACTCTCAGTCCTTCTGTACGCGCTGGCTTCGTCGTCGTCCCATCCACTCATTACTTGCTCTCGTTTGCAAGAACTGCAAAAAAAAAAACTGCAAGTCACTCCAATCTCATCACCGACCTAATCCATTCCTTGCAGTGCAGTGCGAAGAGATCGGCCTAGTCTATCTACCTAGTTACCTTTCTAGGTGCCTAATAAGTTCAATACGTCTAATCGAGTAATCGAGACATTGGAAGTCCCACCCCGTTGGCTCGTGGTCGTCGTGCGTCTTGTACCTACATATCCCACCAACACCCCCCCGACCTTTTTTTGTCACTTTTATTTTTTGCCTGCCACAAAGGGACTGCAAAAAGATCCGCCCCTCCGTCAGCCAAAATTGCGAGGAACTTAGACGCCCGTCCGTAGCCCGTAGCTAGGCTCTCATCTAAACCGACCCCAATTGCGAAAAAGAAGGGATTCCGATTTTCAAATTATCATAAGACGCATCTACCTAATAAAGGATCCAACTGGTCCGCTATTTTACTTACTGCCAAGACTATTATTAGTACGGGAAATTCAAAGAGGGGAGAGTGGTTATATTAGGGCACAGGAGACTAGTAGAACAAGTGTGATTAAAGACCAAAAAAAAATATCAACATTCTAGCCTTGGCCAAAAAACGCAAAGACCAACAATCCAAGGCTGAGCTGGATACGAATCAAAAAAGGGGCGACTCGAAATTCTAGGCATTAGTATCGCCGCAAGGAGCAGCCCTCTTCTACCTTTGCTTTCTGGACAAAGCAATTGGTACTAATTCAAGGCTCATCCCGGCGACACAATGTCTTTAAAACAGGTAGGTTGGATGTTTAGAGAAATGGTGGCGTGCGATTAATAGCATAGAGTTGCTAATGCTCTATCTAGGAGATAGAATCGTGGGTGTCGGCCCTGAGCCGATACGATAACAATGAATTCGAAGAGGCGCTGAAGGAATTCGACAACATCTCGGATACGTCCAAGATTCTGTTTAACATGGGTGTCATACATGCGACTCTAGGAGAACACGAGAAAGCTGTAAGTTGCCTAACATACCTAACCTACCTTAAAGTTAATCCACGTCTTGGAATACTAA